ACAGACGTGTGGTAAGATTCAAGCCCGAACGAACCCCAGGAAGTATTTTGGCCTGTGGGTTCGTACCCATTCTACGACCCGCTATAGGAAGCGGTTTCCCTACGGGGAACAAGAAAAGGGGTCGAAAGACCAAGAAACCGTTAGCCACCGAAGGGGTACTAGTACCAGGTGCACTGCTCTCGACCCAGTCGATTGAGCCCAAGAAACCCTGGGCCCGAGTGAAGCATATCCACTCGTGGCCCCCAAGTCCCTCCATAAAAGACCAAGTCTTTAAGTCTTCTGCGTCTAACGAGGAGCAAGACCAGCCAAGCCGACGGGTACACAAGGTGAGACCCAAGGTTGACGCGACCCGGTATCGGGGTACCCCCTCCGTAAGTCGGCAGTCCGGCGCTGTGTGTGTTTGTGGTTCTCTCACGTCGTTTGAGAATCCACTCCACCACAGTGAGAAGAAGGTCCATACGCGGCATCGGGGTACCCCCTCCGACAGTCGGCAGTCCGGCATAGTGAGTGGTTTGGGGTCTCATCATACAATTTTGAGAACCCACTCCACCACATCTGCCATAAGCGCAGAGTAAGCCCACTTTGAGACTTAAACGTGAACATTGGATATGTCGTCTTCAATGAGCTGCGTCACAACACATTGCTCTATGGCTAGCAGTCAGTAAACACTAGTGTGCGCTGCAGTCTCACCATATTTTGGAGGGTCCATCCAAATGGGCTTCAGTTGGTTAGACCAAGGCAGAGAGCGTCTTAACAGTCCTGTTGAAGCTTCGATTCCGAGGCTGCTCACGCAGAAGCTCATCCTGAGTCTCTGTGACGGACTCAGCCGCCGAATGGCTATGCGTATTGGACGCAGACATCCGCTGTCCGAGCACAAACGCCTCAAACTGCTTTAGTTGAAAAACATTTTGCTCAGTTGGACTTTTCAAGAGATTGGTCAGGGCTTGTTGTCCAAGTCTCTGAGCCAAACGCTCAGCTACTTCCCGATGATGTTAAGAGAGGTGGAAAAGTTAAACATGATCTACATTGTGGATCATCCTCGCACACGCACGCTCAGACACCTTATAGCACATGCGAGGTAGCGGCCTGCGGCCGCCGAAGCGACTTTTGCAGCAAACTTAAAAACTTGGTTCTAATAAGCCGCGGAAGCTCACTGTGAATGGAAGTTAAAATGTTTAGGACTGATTTATATCTAATAAAAACTAACATAAATATAATCAAAAGATGATTGGTTAATATGCAATGATTGGATGACATCTCTTAAGAACTTACGCGTGAGCTGAGATAGTAAAGTTTCTTGACGTCCGTCATGACGACGCCTAGTCCCAGCTGGACGTCATCCCCCTCAATGTGAATTTTGCTAATGTATATCACATACACGAGGGTGGGGTACATTTGTGTGTCTCACCCAAGTGGCAGGTCTTTAGTACTTACGTACCTATTTAGACCTCCCCGTTAGAGAGAACAGATTGTCTATTTACTGATTAGTGCAAGATCTCTGGTAGGTAGTTAACCACATTAGCAACGCTGGAGGGTCCAGGAATTGCCTACGGCTGGCAGCACGTCTATGAACGCCGGACTGCCCTCTCGGTTCTAATATAAATATGTCGTAACATGCAGATAGTTGGGCTCCACGGATGGCTGTGGCCGCCCTGCAATGGAGACGTTTGATGAGCGCCCTCAGTTGGAGCTGATCCCTTTCCAGATCAAAGTTTCACTGGCTTGTATCGGGATAAGCGCATTGTTAAAAATCCTATCCACGCGAAGTTGCCAGAGCATTGTGATAATGACGGTCACTGCGACTTCCCAAATCGTCCTCCAGGCTGTGGCGAATAGATCAATGTCTTCCGGGTACCGGGCTAACAGCTTTGCTGTGACCTGCGGCGAGATGCGTGGTACGCTACAGTTTGCGCAGTGTTCGAGCCAATCCAGGAGGTGGGTAGGATGGTGAGGTGTACTCTCCCAATGACTGATAAGCCGGGCCCAGATTGCCTGAGCGCGGGGACATTCCCAAAAGAGATGCTCCTGGGTTTCCTTTTGGCCTACACATCCCAAATATGTGCATGATCCGTCCGGGGGTCGGTTTTGGTACCAAAATTTAGCTGTCCGGTAGCGTGTCGATATCGTGTCCATAGCTGGTATTCCGTTACCGCATGACCGTGATCCCATAGCTGAGCCGGCGTGACATCTAAGGCTGTGCGTTGCCACCGCGAATTCTGGCTCTTGGTGGCTAGCCGATCGATGAACTGCTTCAGCGGTGCTGCGAGACCGCGCTTTGTCGCCTGAAAAGCTTGTTTTTTCAGAAAAGTGAATAGTCGATGGTTGGGGACCGTAGGCGGTGCGGACCACGGATAGTGGTGGATCTGTGGGTTGGATAAAAAGACAACCCCATGTCGTCTGAGCTTGCTCTCCGCTTCTTGGGTGAGTTCCTGCGATTTCCCTTTTACCAGCGGCGGAGCGCCGTCGAAAACCCAAGTTATGCTATCGTGGCATTGAGTGAGTTCCCAACTCTGAGGGCGATCAGATTCATCAGAGAGTGAAACGCCTCGGAGACCTCCCCGTTAAGTATTGCAATACTTAACGGGTACGTGTAACATATGGGCAAATTAGCCCGTTACATAATCAGCGTGTTGACCAATGACAAAAACCTTTCGTGGTTCAGTCACGACTAACACCTCTACTTCAACATGTGTCCTGTATATTGTATGCTATTGATATCTCCGTAGCTTGACACATGTAATACGAAACGGTGAAGGGCGTTCCAAAAGTGTCACGAATGCATTCGTGCTTTCTCAGTACATCACTTTCACTGCAAAGATACGCGGTTCGAAGCGTCGTTGCGCTATCGTAAAGCCGCAGCATGACGATATCTTGGTGAGTCACCAACTCTATGCATAACCGTAACTACATTACTTACTTTTGATGCAGATAGTTTGACGACCTAACTCGGTGGTGAATAAGTGAATCGAGAGTGACTAAAGGTCTTACTCAGATGCTTCATTCCAGACACGCCGTCCAGTCGTCAGTTTTGTAGCGGGTATCAGCCCGATGGTCTTACCACTGGCAAGGCGACTATAAACGCTGCAGCATATCATTCATAACACCCTGTGTTTGTCTGAACCTTTCAGCACTGCATTCAGCAAACAGAATATAATTCATTCCGGTCGAAGTTGCAGACGATCTGGTTGTTCCTGCAGCGACACTAAAGGCCAAATTATCTTCATTGATCCGCATGGCGTCGATTTATGCTTCCCAAACATATGATATACGAGGTATCTATCCGATACATGCACCTATGTGCTATGACGTGCATCAACGACAGCTTTGCATGAAGGAATGGGCTCTAGGGATTTTGAGCAACCGTGAATTGCCAGTCGACGATAGACCCGTTTCACTTCTGCTGTAACCATGTATAATATTTATTGAGACGCCCTAGGCTTTCCGCGAGCATGCGATATTTTTGACGTGCCCTACCGATGTCCGTGTGTTTGCTGTCGCCTTTTCCTCGGTGGAGGCGACCAACACCAGCAACATTGGCTGCATCTCACGCGCACTCTGCATCCCTCACTTGCCGATTGCACTCCAACCCAACACTCGACTACCAGTTTTCCAGCCTCAAAGATGAAAACCGCCTTCGTGTCCGCTGCCGCCCTCATCGCTACCGCTACCTACTCGAGTGCCGCCAAATGTAATCTCGCCAAGATTGAGGGCTTGCTCTTCTCGAACGCCACCCGAGGTCTCGCCAACTGCGAGAGCGCCACGGGCATCAATATCTTTGCAGTGACCAAGTTTCCCACATCAGAGCAAGTGACAGATCTCTCGGAGAATGTCGGCTGCACTGACTACCTTAACCAGATCAACCGGGTGGCCAACGCCGAGACTCAATGCAACGTCACCATTGAGGGCGTCGAAATCAACTTCGGAACGCTCATCGCTGAATTCCTCTCAGGTAGGACCGGCAACGAGTCAGATTCCGGCAGCGACTCCATCGAGATTCCGAGTGACAGCTCAACGGAGCTTGACAATGCGGCCTCCTATTCTGGACCGGTCGCTCCCTTCGAGTCTTCCGCTTCTGGTGCCCACGCTCTGGCGTTCGTCTCCTGCTGCGTCGCTGCTACCCTTGCGTTGGCATTGCAATAAAATGACATTGCCTCAATGACAATGATAGAGCTTAAAGAAGTAGATGGAGCCGTGCTCGTAGCATTTTATACTTTCCTTTGGCAATAGATGTGCTTTTCTTCTATCAGCGATCTAGCATTTTATTCATTTCGGCACTTTGGACAAATTTGTTTGTCTCCAACCGATACAGCTACATACAGCTAAAGAATATAACACCAGCAAGACGTTAACGCAAAACACGGCTTGCTTGCAAGGAACATATTCATTTTATCAACCGAAAGACTTGCGAAAACCAATTTGCAACTTCAGCAAATTGACGACTGTTTTGTTATCAGCTCTTGCTGTCACGTTATTGTTCCCTACGTTGCCACACAATGCGAATCAACGGTCTTTGAGGCCATACCCACAAGTCGACAGATAAAACAAAAACAAAATGAGTACTCGTTGCTCAGCCAGGATACTTTTTTTGTCGTTCATTCTGCGGCACTAGACTTTTTAGCCCACTTGTCATCGAAGCAACGTTTGTTAGCGACGTCTTTCTTTTGTTGCAAGTAAGTTACGGGCGGCATCTACAAAGTACATGTAAAAGGCAAAGAAGCTGTGTACTGAGCTGGTTAGAGATTAATTGTAACTCTTTAGCTATCGTTGCAATCATTTTTAATTGATATCATATCTTCTCAAGCTTTCCAGTTGGTCGAGTCCTTACCGTCGCATAAGAAACGGTCTCTCATTAATAAGAACAGACAAAAAGCTGTCGGTTTATGTGCTGCTTATTCCTACGGATGATGATACCCGACGAGAAAGCAAACTATACAAAAGCTACGAGCAACGGCTCCATCTACTTCTTTAAGCTCTATCATTGTCATTGAGGCAATGTCATTTTATTGCAATGCCAACGCAAGGGTAGCAGCGACGCAGCAGGAGACGAACGCCAGAGCGTGGGCACCAGCAGCGGAAGACTCGAAGGGAGCGACCGGTCCAGAATTGGCGGCCGCATCATCGAGCTCCGTCGATCCAGAGGCGCTGGCACTCGGAATCTCGATAGAGCCGCTGCCGGAATCTGACTCGTTGCCGGTCCTACCTGAGAGGAATTCAGCGATGAGCATTCCGAAGTTAATTTCGACGCCCTCAATGGTGACGTTGCACTGAGTTTCGGCATTGGCCACCCGGTTGATCTGATTGAGGTAGTTGGCGCAGTCGACGTTCTGTGAAAGGTCCATGACCTGCTCTGATGTGGGAAACTCAGCCACTGCAAAGATATTGATGCCCGTGGCGCTCTCGCAGTTGGCGAGACCTCGGGTGGCGTTCGAGAAGAGCAAGCCCTCAATCTTGGCGAGATTACATTTGGCGGCACTCGAGTAGGTGGCGGTAGCGATGAGGGCGGCAGCGGACACGAAGGCGGTTTTCATCTTTGAGGCTGGAAAATTGGTAGTCGAGTGTTGGGTTGGAGTGCAATCGGCAAGTGAGGTACGCTGATAGCGCTTAGACGCCGCTGTTGTGGCCAGTCGTCTTTACCAAGGCTAGGTGACAGCAGCCACACGGTTACCATTATGGTACGTATCCCGTGGAAAGGCTAGGGCGTCTCTACAAATACTCACATATATTATCGATGATTGCAGCAGAAGTGAAACGATTCTATGGTCGGCTGGCAATTCACGGTCGTTCGAAAACCCTATTCCTTCGTGCAAAGTTGTCCTTCATGCGCGACGTAGCAGATAGGGGCATGTATCGGATAGATACTTCTTTTATCATATGTTTGGGAAGCATAACTCGACGCCATGCAAATCAATGAAGACACTTTGGTCTTTCGTGGCGCTGCAAGAATAACCAGATCGTCTGCAACTTCGACTGGATTGAATTATATGCTGTCTATTGAATACAGCGTTGCTGTTATTAGATACAAGATACTATAAATGATAAGCTTACACTCAGACAGGACAATTTAGTCGAAGATTCTAAGGTATTTCCTCGCATCTGCAACCAAACTGCAAACTCACTGAGTCTATATTCGCTTACTGCTTTTGTTTTTGCAGTCCGCAGCTTCAAACAAATGCTTGATGACAACTTGATTAAGAAAATGTCGGATGTCGCCCAGCACTATCGCAAAATTGATCTTGAAAGCTAGCGGGTTATCCAGTGCCGACACCAGTATGAAGGAAAGCTTATCTTCACGCTGCCGCAAAAAGGGTGGTACAACGCTAGACGATTTCATTCCACCACTTCTAAGTATCAACCACCTACATGGTGATCTTCCTTTATGATTATTCAGGTTATGGTGCACTGTAGTGCAATATTGGTCGGTTGCATCAACAAACTTAGCGCAATGTAAAAAGAGGACCAGCCCACCACACAAACAAAATTCATGAGATGAGGGAGTTATCACTAGTAGCCACGGATATTGAAAAAGCAGTTTTCAAACGAACATTAAAAGTAATCTACAGTGCAAAACTGAGCACGGCGGTCACCGTAGTCGCGACAACAGTAAAAGAAGCGGTAACGGAGATGCTTGCGCTGCTGTCAGGCTCGGCAATGCTGCTGCCAGGCTCGACGATGCTGCTGTCAGGCTCGGCGATGCTGTCCTAAATTTCGGCGACCGTGCTTGACAAATTCGCCGACCCTGAGCTGACCAGGCCCGATTCGCTACCTGAAGAGGAATTACTGACAGAGGCAAAGTCACTGGGGGAAAGCGAGGCGCTTCCGGACATGCTGCCCGAGCTGAAATCGGTCTTGTTGCTTGACTTGCCCGTTAACAAGTCCGTAAGCAGTTTAGCTAGAACGACCGTCTAATCGCCGACCTGCATCTCACACTGAATCTGCGTATTGGCCTGCTGGCTGAGCTGATTCAAGTAGTTGACACAATCACGCGACTGGAAAATGTTTTGGGCCTCCGCTTTAGTCGGTAACGTGATCATTGCAAACACGTCCATACCAGTAGCCGACGCACAATTATCGTGCCAAGTTGTCCCATTCAAGAGCAGGGTGCTCTGAATGGTGCCCATGTCGCACGAGTCCGAAGCATACACAAAAGCGACGGCACTAGAAACAACGACGAGAGAGATCATGGAAAGCCGCATGGTGCTTAAGAGTAAGAGACCGAGATGAGATCGAGGAATCGTAGTAGTTTTGATGAAGGGAATTCCAGAATGAATGGACCACGCCGCAACGTCGAAGACAGAGCACTAAGTGCAGGATCAATCGACGGATACTTAGTCGTTTTTTGTGTCACCATGCTTCGGTGGTAAGCCAACGTGCTGATACCACCAGGTTGACGATGCATCGGATGAAGGATCTGAGTAAGAGCTTTAGTCACTCTCGATTCACTTATTCACCACCGAGTTAGGTCGTCAAACTATCTGCATCAAAAGTAAGTAATGTAGTTACGGTTATGCATAGAGTTGGTGACTCACCAAGATATCGTCATGCTGCGGCTTTACGATAGCGCAACGACGCTTCGAACCGCGTATCTTTGCAGTGAAAATGCGATACTGAGAAAGCACGAATGCATTCGTGACACTTTTGAAACGCTCTTCACCGTTTCGTATTGCATGTGTCAAGCTACGGAGATATTAATAGCATACAAATTGGGTGTAAACCCGTCGTTCCGACGGACATGGTCTACGCTGATAGTATATTACTAGGTATTTTGGCATCCTTAACACGGCGCTTCGCTATATACAACATTGCGCATCAGTCGACGCGATCGCAAAAATCTTCCTCTGACATGTACCGATACGTTCTGAGGCGTAAGTTGTGTCTACAATTTTACTGTGCCGACTAAAGCACGAACGATTGCCTTCATAGAGCAACACACTAATTAGTTGAGTGAACCTTCGCCAGAACTTGGCGATGATGCAGTGTTACGGATTAAAGGACTTTCGGAAAAAGTTGCTTTGCCAATTGGTACCAATTCCTACACACGACTCACGCGGGCACCTGCTTCGCAGACAAGCGCGATAAAGTCGTTTTAAACCCATAGCGATGCTACTTGGCTCACTTATTCAGCTTCCAATCTTCTCTTTTTCATGGTGCCGTACCTGCGTATGACGACGCTAGACTCGTCATTACGTAACGATAACAACACCGAGAGGTAGAGAAAGTGAGCTCGTCGAAGCATGCTGGTTATAGTATATTAATATTTCATTCACATGATACAGTTAAGTAGAACAAGCTCCCAAAGCTGGGAATGATGCTAAATCCTGTAGAAGCTTTGGGTTCAATTGGGCACGGAGCTGGCGACACCGGCTTGTTCGTTACACGGGTCGATGAACTGAGAGCCCTTGCTGCTCAGCTTGACATCCGTGATCATCTCAAGCGTCAGAAAGAAGACAAGAATATCAAAGATATCGTACCCGTATTCTCGACGCATTTTGCCTGAGCAGTAGTTTTGTTTTCTTCTGTCGGACTTGTTGTGTAACACCATAATGACCGCTGGTCCGCATTATGTAGCAGCGTAGGGATCGCCAACATGACAGCAAGAGCGATAACGAAACAGTCTTTATGAGTAATTCAACTTGTTGGAGATGCAAAGTGAGTCACTTGCGTGGGTCCACGCAAAAAAAATCAAAATGTTCGCTGCAAGCAAGCGGCTTTACCTATCTAAGTTGTATCGGTTGGAAACAAGCTAATAAGAATGAAATGAAATGCATGGACACTGGGTCGCTGATTGAAGAATAGCTATTGCCAAAAGGAAAGTATGAAAAATGCTACTTCTCTAACTCTATCATTGTCATTGAGGCAATGTCATTTTATTGCAATGCCAACGCAAGGGTAGCAGCGACGCAGCAGGAGACGAACGCCAGAGCGTGGGCACCAGCAGCGGAAGACTCGAAGGGAGCGACCGGTCCAGAATTGGCGGCCGCATCATCGAGTTCCGTCGATCCAGAGGCGCTGGCACTCGGAATCTCGATAGAGCCGCTGCCGGAATCTGACTCGTTGCCGGTCCTACCTGAGAGGAATTCAGCGATGAGCATTCCGAAGTTGATTTCGACGCCCTCAATGGTGACATTGCATTGAGTCTCGGCGTTGGCCACCTGGTTGATCTGGTTGAGGTAGTTGGCGCAGTCGACGTTCTGTGAAAGGTCCGTCACCTGCTCTGATGTGGGAAACTCAGCCACTGCGAAGATATTGATGCCCGTGGCGCTCTCGCAGTTGGCGAGACCTCGGGTGGCGTTCGAGAAGAGCAAGCCCTCAATCTTGGCGAGATTACATTTGGCGGCACTCGAGTAGGTGGCGGCGGCGAGGAGGGCAGCAGCGGACACGAAGGCGGTTTTCATCTTTGAGGCTGGAAAATTGGTAGTCGAGTGTTGGGTTGGAGTGCAATCGGCAAGTGAGGGATGCAGAGTGCGCGTGAGATGCAGCCAATGTTGCTGGTGTTGGTCGTCTCCATCGAGGAAAAGGCAACAGCAACCACACGGACACCGGTAGGGCACGTCAAAAATATCGCATGCTCGCGGAAAGCCTAGGGCGTCTCAATAAATATTATACATGGTTGCAGCAGAAGCGAAACGGGTCTATGGTCGACTGGCAATTCACGGTTGCTCAAAATCCCTAGAGCCCATTCATTCATGCAAAGCTGTCGTTGATGCACGTCATAAAACATAGGTGCATGTATCGGATAGATACTTCGTATATCATGTGTTTGGGAAGCATAAATCGACGCCATGCGGGTCAATGAAGACAATTTGGCCTTTAGTGTCGCTGCAGGAACAACCAGATCGTCTGCAACTTCGACTGGAATGAATTATATTCTGTTTGCTGAATGCAGTGCTGAAAGGTTCAGACAAACACAGGGTGTTATGAATGATATGCTGCAACGTTTATAGTCGCCTTGCCAGTGGTAAGACCATCGGGCTGATACCCGCTACAAAACTGACGACTGAACGGCGTGTCTGGAATGAAGCATCTGAGTAAGAGCTTTAGTCACTCTCGATTCACTTATTCACCACCGAGTTAGGTCGTCAAACTATCTGCATCAAAAGTAAGTAATGTAGTTACGGTTATGCATAGAGTTGGTGACTCACCAAGATATCGTCATGCTGCGGCTTTACGATAGCGCAACGACGCTTCGAACCGCGTATCTTTGCAGTGAAAGTGAGATATTGAGAAAGCACGAATGCATTCGTGACACTTTTGGAACGCCCTTCACCGTTTCGTATTGCATGTGTCAAGCTACGGAGATATTAATAGCATACAATATACAGGACACATGTTGAAGTAGAGGTGTTAGTCGTGACTGAACCATGAAAGGTTTTTGTCATTGAGATAGTTTCTGTCACAACTCGGCGATGACGCAGATCTTACGGAAGAGTTTGCTTGCCAGATTGATGACAATACCTATACACGACTTTCCAAGACAAGCGGAGCTTCACTCTTTCGTCACTTCACATCCCGACCGCCGTAAAGTTTGCGAAAGAACTGATTATGAACTGTCCTAATGGATGGAGGATCAGCATCAAACGACAGTTTTCTTGATATCGCTCCTATAGATGGAAAGGATGGAGTACAGGCGGCGGCAGGTCGACTCCGCTTGGGCGTAACGATTTGAACGCGGACCTCGTCACTTTTACCACCAAAACTGTCGCAACTACAAACACTGACTCGGTGTACAGAAGGTGAGGTGCTTCCAGACCGTCGACAGCGACGATTGCGGTGAACATTTGCAATCGATGAACCATCAACATGTCGCTGTGGCGATTCGAGTGAAAGTGCTGAAGCTGAGTATGCCCAGTTGCGTTTGCCCACATCACTTCGCAAGAGAATGTCAGGCGCGTTCGCACTGAAGCGGCGTCTAGTTCGACTTCGCTCCAAAGTTTTGACTCCACTTGTCGAAGCAGGCACGGTGGAAAGCGTTGCACTGCGCCGGCGGCGATAGTCAGGTAAAGGAGAGCCGTTGATGGTGTTCATAGCGTCCACCGATAGTTCCTTAGCAGACAAGCGGGATACCGACGCTTGAAACCCATTTTCGGTGCTATATGGGATAGCAGTCGACATAGTCATCACCCTGCGCTGCCAAGACAAGTGCTCCACTTCAGAATGATTTGACTCAGCTGAGAACAACACTTTTGAGTGACGAAGACTTAGCATGCAATCTTCGTTATCGTCATTCTCGTCTTCTTCAGTAATGTCGTCGTGGTCCCAGCGTCCACTAGTTACTTCGTTATCGTCCTCATCCGCATCTCGCGACGCGTATTGTGCAGCATCGTCGCGTAACACCTTAGCAACGCAAATCTTACAGAAGCAGCGGGCTGGCATCCGTCCATCTATCCACGTTAATTTACTCGAGGGCACTATTTCCTGTCGCACACTGCACTGTGAGCATGTCCAATCGTGACATGCTGCGCACCGCCGTTTGAAGTGCATTGCATAAATAACGAAGACACATTCCACAGCGCCTCTCGCCATCAAGTGACTCCTGTACTGCCTTGTTTTCTTTCACCGTTCGTGCCAACTTTTTAGCCAGCGCACACGCCCGTACACTTTCAAAACTAAATAACGTCTCGACAAGACTCTTTTCCGCAATTGACATTGGCAAACCCAGTCCAATGGTACCCGTCCCGCCTCCTACATTGTACGTCCCTTCATGAAAAACCTCTACCCTTCCATTGCGTAGCTGTCTAAAGAAGGAACACAAGAAGATTTGCCCTCGAACCACCGAATGGTTCTGGAATGGCGGACAGGACGGGAATGTAATAGAGTGACGCAATCGATAGCTTAACTTTACACCTGTCCGAGGGGAACGCACGACTCCTGCTGCCGCCAAGTAACAAAAGTCTCGATCTTTGACTACCAGACCTCCATGGGGTGCACGCTTGAGCGCCCACTTGACACTCAGCGACCGGAACGGGTCCGTACTCGACGGCGTGTCAACTGTACAAAGCACGGCACCGTCTGCTACTCCATCAGCAGTAAAATGAGCTCTAGCAGCGCGTTCCCGACCCGATCTCCACATGGCCCCGTATAGAACGTCCTCTAGAGTTCCATCCACACTGCCAATGAGTCTCAGCGCCGGTAGATCTCGCTCGTTGGCGCATCGATAACCTCTCAATTGATCTGTGACATCCTCAGGCTTCGATCCAAACAACTTCTTGCGCTTCTTCTTCGTTGTAGGCCGTTGACTATAAATTTTTACGTGTGCTCGCTGTCCTACGAGCTTCCAATTGGACGACTGCGCGTCGTTTGAATGTGTGTCGTAGCTGGTTAAATAGACAGAGAGAAGATGAGCTTGTACGCCTTGTAAATCGTGTACTTCAGCTGCAGAGAGACGCACAGGCACGAAAAAGTCTGCAGGTAGCGGTAGTTGCATGATGGAGAAACACTTGAAGTGGTCCTTATTGAGGGAGTTACATTCTGACTACCCGTAATCATCAATTGACGACAAGACCTTTTTGTATACTACCGTATACCACCAAGTTGGCAAATGTATAACAACCAAGAGGGGAATCACAGTAGTACTGTATTTATACCGGTACTGGTACTGGCATTACGGTCCATTTTCCGAGGCAGCATGCTGCCAAGGTGTATATACTTGACCGATCTTGAGCAGGTCCTCGTGTACATCCTTTACAAGACGTAAGCGCCGGTTCTGATTGAAACCATCGGGACACATCTTGGTTTTAAAGTCGACCAGCGCCTGATTTAATACCTTGATACTCGTGCACACACCATACGCTTCCAGCATCCGCTGTTTGTCAAAACTCTGCTTGGCCAGTGTCCAGACGCTTGCGGGTGGCGATGCCAATAGCCATGAATCACATGCAAACAGGTTGTTGGGCATTAGCGTCTTGTAAAACACCCACTTGACATTACGGTCGTCGTTGGTCTCATACGGTCGGTAGCCGTGCAGCAAAGGAGGCACCTCACCCGGAATCATGGGAATAATGGGGTCCTCGCACGGGTTCCCCTTCATGATACTAACAAAGTCAGTATAGTCATCAACCTTGTTGCCCAGTGCCAAGTTGTCGAACGTCGTGTGCTTCACTCCGTGCTTTGCCGCTGCAAGTGAGTACCCCATCATCTCGCTCATCCTCAGCTCACGATTCGTCTGCTCACGCTTGAGCACCGTCATGTTGCAATAGTCGTCCATCAATTGTATCAGATCGTTGCGTGTGATGACGTACGGAGAGCCAACAGCGAAATACTCAGCGGCATCTGCCTTCGATACCTTCACGCACTCGGGGCAGATTAAACTGCTGTTCTCAAAGGCCGTCGTACCCAAATAGTTCGACCATCGCTGCGCCACAGCCACGCCGTCCGTTACTGTATCGCTTACATTTTCACGTCGGCCAGTATATACAAAAAAGCGCTTGTACTGCCGCATGCCTTCGATAACTTCGGTGTCGCGCGCATAGTTGCCCGAGTCCACATTCATGGGCAATGTCACCCTTCCGCCAGTGTTCACTGCAAAACGCCGCATGAACAAAAAGTCTGGATCAAGCACAACGACGAGTTCCTCGAGCACGGGAGGATTGGCAGACTCTAACCAGTCCCGAAGTCCAAACGGCTTGTTGTATGGCGCATAATTGTCCGGCGTCGTGGCCTTCTCCACTTCATCGGAGGCCTTTTTATAAGCTGGGAGCGAGCGAAAGTCGCGAGTGACATGAATGCGCAGATGCGGCGAAGACTTGCGCGTACGACGTAGCAGCTCCTTCACAGCGTCGTCCGAGCAACCGCTTACAATGCGTGTAAGTGCCCCACGCTGGCCGACTCGTGCAAAACTCTGGGCAAGAGCCTCGCTCTGCCAGTCTTGGTGTGGCTCACAAGACGTCGTGAATACAAAGTGTATCTCGTCACTATCTTTTTGACCGGGTTTCACGTCACTCTCGTGAGAAACATCAGGACTTTTCTTCCTCTTGTAGTCACCAAAGTAAACGGGCAAATCTTCGTCCATCTCGGTGCCATCTGCAAGAGCCACAGCGGTACTCCAAGCCTTCTTCTGAAACTCCATGGAAATACGACGATTACGGTTGTAGCCAGTGGGGCAAAAATGAGAGCGATAGCTCTCAGACGCGCTGTTGTAGGCCTCCACGGCAAGGCACACACTCATAGTGTGGCGGCGACGTAGAATGCTAGGTACACGCTCGTATCCACTCGTATGAGAAGCCAGATGCCACAGATAGTCGGTCGGCTGGTGAATCATCCAGGCATCGCACGCTAAAAAGTCCGATGGTACCTTGTCGGCGAAGAAACTCCATTCCTGACCATCAATCCACTGAGGCAGTGTGAAGTTGAGCGCCCGAATTGAGATTGGGTAGGATGATAATGCCAGATTTTTTCCTTCAGCCTGTTCCTTGCATGGGTTGTGCTTAATGTCGTCAGCAAAATCCCAGTTCTGGTAGCGAGAAGGATAGTGATGAACGCTAAGTACACCTGAAATGCCAATAAGTGTCTTCTCATGAGCTGCAGTAATCGGGATAGCCAGATAGCGCTGTTCGTGTGCCAACTTACTCCATATGTCAACTGCAGTGGGTAAAAATGTCTGCCATGTACTTACTTCAGCTACAAATGGTGCAATGGCAGCGTATTCACGCCAGTCGGTCAGGAGTAACGCACGAGAGTTTGTCGGCACAATATTCTTCAGTTGTTCGTGCGTAAGAGGAAATTGTTTTGGCCAGTACCACGATGCATCTTGACCAAAAATATGTAGTTCAGCAATGCTTTTTGCTTCAGCTACGAGGTTCCGCATGTCTAGCTTCTTGGTAAAAATTGCGTCATTGTCGACAGCCATGACAAAATCATTGGATGCTAATGCATAACGTTCGTTAAACAAAGCAGAACGATTGTCATGGAGATCTCCAGTATCAGAACCCAACATCCATTTCGACAGCACCAATGGATTCACCGTTGTCTTGAGCAGCTTCTCACCGAACGTTGTGTTTACTGCCGATACATCAGGATAATGCTTCGTTTGTACGTGATGACGTGGATCTTTTTTACGCATGAGATTCAAAGCTTCTTCTTCCGTGCAACCATAGAGTAAATGTGTGACATTGCCATTGTATCCCGTTCGTCGTAGCGTGAAGGCGAGCACTTCTGCATGGACAAAGTCAAGCTCACGACACGTAGACGTGAACACCAAATGCTTGACTTGACGTGTAGTATCAGAATCTACTCGTATGTCTTTCGGATGGTGAGGTACGTCAGTAGTAAACGAGTTCCAGCCTTTATTGACCCCGTCACTGGAATTTAGAGACGCCGTGTATGTCGCAAAGAAGTGGAGATTGTAATACATATACCACGCAAAGAAGAGACTTAGTACAACAAGAAACACATTACGTTTAGTAACATTAGTAGTAGTACGCTGAAGATGAGTAGCTACAGCCCGATTCCTAGACTTTTGTCGCTGCGGGAGCATTCTTGTCTCGGAATTTTCCAAGACAACTGAATTCTCAAACGATGATTCGTCAATAATAAAGAAGAATTACAGCCAATCATGTGCTGAGACTTGAAACCGTACTTTATGAGACTTGTAACCGTACTTAATATAGATCTGTGATGCGTAGGTTTTTGGTCAGTGCAGTCATCACTTGTTTCCAGTCATCAATTCGCTCCGTCCCGTGATTGTAACAAATGAATTGGGTACCGCATTCTAATGAGCCAATCGTAATGAACGTAGGGACCGATGGAAACGCCGAGCTCTCGGAGAATGAGCTTCGAAGTGTCAGTGAAATTTCAGCAAACGTTCCTTCAACCAAGTGCAGTCTCGAGCCAAGAACACCGCACAAAGAAGAGCAGCGACGGTCAAGACATAATGCCAATGAACGTCGTCGGACTAACGCGTTAAAGGTGAGTGTAGCCATGACGATGGCTACAAAATAGACTAATTGTTAACTACTAATGAACTGGTCTAGACGCGGATCTTGGAGATGCGAGAAGAGGTCGAAGCGCTGGAGCGACAGCGGTTGAGACTCAAGCGAGAAACATTTTCAGAAGATCCCGCACTATTGGATACGATAACGCTGATTGATCAGCTTCGACAGGAGCAGCAAGAGCTTTACAAGAAGATGCGGACCTATGACATGCAGAACAGCACGTACCAGACAATCCTTTCCGAGTACAGAGCTGATTCGGCTTCTTTTGAAGTCGCAGATGGTCAATATGATACTGAAATCATGGACTTGAATGAGGACAAGTTGATTGAAACGCCAATCTTTCTGCGTGTGCTTTTCCGTCGTCCTTTGTCCCTTGACGTCGTCATGGCGTGTGTGAAGGAGAGCTATGAATCGATCATGGCATTTCGTGCCGAGCGCGACTTTGAATCGCTAGACACGGAGGTGCTGGGTTGGAGTGATAAGCGCATTTTGAACGCCAGATCACTGCGGTTTATGCTGTCACAACGATTCGAGTACGTGCCGCCATCGGAGCTCGTGTACAAGACGTGGAATTTGCTGACGAACCTTAAACTCTATCGGCACATGCAACCACGCACTGTGGCACTGGAGCTGCTCCAACACGTGACGGAGGATTGTGTCATTGTACGGCTGAGTGTGAGCAATGGCAACAAGGTACACCACTCGATATTGCTAATTGCACGTGGCCGTATCGACAGTGGCTACTTAATCACGTACCGTTCGATTCCGCTGTCCAAGGGGCAGCGGCAATTTGCCTCTACAGAAAGCAACTATGTCAATCTCTTTAACTGGTACATGTTCCTGGAGAAGATGACTTCGGAGGGTATTCCAGCGTGCGAAGTGACATTCGGTGGTGGTGTAGAGAACCAGTCAATGGAGTATCTGCGCTATCTCATGATGGAGGTCGTGGCTGGTGTCGTGCGATGGCAAACTGCAGTTGGACACAACAAGTTTCGTCTGACGTCAAATTGATAGTGGCGAAGCTGGATGGTTGGAGCTAGCAGTTGTTTGATTGATGTGTTTGGTGGCGTCGTTACTCCCAAGTGAAAGTTTATTCGTGTGATAGTATTTAAAACACTTTGATGAATGAGGAAAAGAAAATATCGGTGAACATGTAACGTAGTGCATTCCCAAGATTAGTCTTAGACAACGGGTGACCTGATTTCTAGTGTGAAGCATCACAAGTAAACTACTGCTCGTCCTCCCCAATGGACAATACCCAACATCGTGTTACAGAACACTTTGGACCAAGACATCGCTTTACAAAACAACGAAGAAACGCACTGAATTGCTGCTGGTTCCTGCAAGTATTTGCCTATAAGTCTCCACATCGTGTTCCAGACTGTCATTCGTTCGACAGCAAAAACTCGACGTCAAGGGGCGAACGCTCAGCGAGGTCGCCAGGGGACGTGCGCACGGCGAGGTCGTTCAGCGGCGTCTGGTTGGGCGGCGCCATGAGGTAAAGGACGGTCTCATAATCACCTGCGACCGCCAGCAGCCCACTCAAAAAGTCGATGTCGCACACGTACTTGATGATCTGCTTGTTGGAGGCGAAGAAGAAGGTGTCTTGGATAGGATAACAAATCTCCTTACCGATCAGCTTCCTGCAAAGCTCTCGGTTGTCCGCAATGTGCGGAAAGAGATGCTCAATAGTCCTTTGCGAGACGCACACTCGTAGGTTGGCCTTCGTAGTCACAGCCAGCGTATCCTCCGTGTCCAGGACGTCAATGCCGACAAGATCAAAGGTTAGACATTCGTGCCATGCCGCCCAGGCCGTCCAACCGTTAAGTAACGCGCTGGCACCCAGTACAAAGCGGCCGCACCAGTCAAACACTTCTACGTATGGATCCATGATACAGTTGAGAAATGCGTGCTGCTCGTCGGGTGTTAGCAGATTGTCCACCGTTCGCTCGCGTTTCTTCCCAGCGCTGACATCTTCCATAGCGGCAGCAGGCATGCCATGCCGAAACACAGTCATGTACTCGCGGATGATCGTAGCCAGCGACCCAGTAACTGAGCCACGCAGGTTTACACTCTGTTCTTGGCGCAGGTTGCGCAAAATCTCGAGGCCCTGCACATCGATATGCAGTTCGCGCACGACGGCCTCCAAGTTCTCCAAGTAAACCTTTTGGCGTTGACGGTACTGGCGACTGCGCTCCGTGGAAAGCGTATGGACCCTGCGTTTTTTAGTTTGCTTTTCAAGGGGTGTCGGGTGTTCCAGCCTCATTGTAATCAAGAGCCCCGTGTCATCTTCACTGCTGCAGGGTGACGTGGAGAAGTCTTCGATAGAGGATGTAGCGATCTGAGATGAGGTTTTGCTAACCACAGATGAGTCCGAGAACCAGACATCGGCGGACTCGACAATTGGCATAACGACCAACGCTTGCTCATCTCGGGGTGCGGCATTCCAAAGCAAGTTCTTGCCTTGTAGTTCCTCTACTTTCCCTTTACCGCCATGCTGATCTCTATTGTGGCGTGCTTGGTGATACATCATGTCCGCGAGTGAGATAGAGACTGTGCTTGGGTCATGGCGACTGAGTGAGCAGCACAGGCTTTTCTGTGTGCTTGCGTAGGAGTATTCACGACAAGACGAGCCAACATGCACATGAAACTGTTTGATTGTGTTAACTGAACAACTGTGAAGAATCAGCGGTCAGGTGGAACCTCTAGTTTAACAAGCGCCAACGTGCGTTTGTGTCATAAATCCATCCGAGCTGGTAAGAGTGCTCGTCAAAGTAAGTCCTTAGGATTAATGAGCCCTTGGGAATAATGAGCCTCTGGAAACAGTAAGTGAGCCCTTGGAAAAGCGAAGCCCATCCTCAAAGCGTAATCCTTGAACTCGTCCAGCGTGCTGCTCATCGAAAGTACGTAGACACGTACATTGGAGACGAGTCTATTTAGCCGTTTAGGGGTTGCAAGACGTCTGGGAGTTCGTAAGCAACGTCGGTGCTCGATCGAGTCGGATGATTGTACGAAGCGTGTCACCTGCGGTGACTGTCCGGCTATGCTGATGCAGCATAGTAGCAGACGTGTAGCGTTGTTTATAACCTTATGTCTGATGTGCGCGATCGCCGACGCGAGGCACGTGTCGTGGGATGAATTTCCCTTTATGACCGCTAGCGCGGTCCGTCGAGCTGACTTGTGCGATTGCCGAAGCATTGCCGCGTGGCGCGGGAACGCAGCATCTTCCTCGGTCTACTGTCCACACGACCGGTGATCGGGCGAGATACATGGTCATACATGACTCCACCTTCGGCGGTGCCCGTGATGAGGGGTTGACGCTTGAAAGTTGACCGCGAAAATTTGGGAATGCGTCAACCCAAGCTTCAGCCCTCATCACGGGCACCCCACTATGGTGGGAAACCGCACCGAAGTGGGTGGTATAATGTCTTGAGCATGCCTTTCGTGCAGCAGCAGCCGCAGCCGACAGGAGACATATCCTGGCTACGAGTAGCTGTGGTTAGTCTGTTCACACACACACACACACACACATTCGATCATGTAATTTCATAAACCAATAGTAAGATGTTATCGACCAAAGAGTTGGTAAGTTGATTGGCTGCTGGCTGTTCCAATGTTTGTTCGTCTTTCGACTTGTGCCATGCACCGAGCTGTCCGTACAGCTTTCTTCTCTTCCCGATGCTCTCCAAGCACTTTTCTCTCTGTAGCATCATGTTTAGCTATTAAACCTCGTACTAGACGTTTTGATTCAGTTGCGTTATGTCGAAATCTGTCAACGTCTGCAAAGAAGACAACAGCAGCAAACCCTTTGGACTGCCAAGCTCTGGTTCGACTTATATTGCTAATGCTAAACCCATTTGTGCTCAAGATTTCTTACTCAGTGGGTGATCCCTATTGTGACGACGCTGCAGGATGAGAACGTTCGAACGACATTTGACAAGGAGTTGACCCCTCGAGTGGAAGAACTGCTAGAGCTGATCGAGCAGAGTCGGGATGAGGTGCGTCAGGGTGTTGACTGATGGGATGTATGGAGCAGTTGCTTACGATGAAAGTGCTGTAGGGAAATACGGAGCAAGAGCTGAAGCAGTCTCTGCAGCTCTACGACGTCCTCAAACAGCGCAGGCAACAAGGTAAAACTGTGTGAAGGCGTTCACCCAGTATAGACTAATGTCATCTTGATGGGTCTGTGTGACTGCTGCGTGCAGATGCTGACGTCTTTGAAGTCGCCTTCGGGATTGCGCGGATATATGATGATCAGCTGGAAGACAGCGGTACCGCTACGATCTACTACAGAGACGCACTTGCAATGTTGGAAGCGATCTTGACTAGACCATCGGTCGAGGGTGCATACATGCGTGTCACTACGTTCGGTGCTCTTGCAATGTGCTACGAAAATCTGTACGTCATCTTTGCCTGCTGTAGATTGGTCCTAGTAAACCCACTCTCATTTGATGCTCTCACTAGCGGACAGTCAGAGGACGCCACAAACTACTTTAACGACGCTATCAGTGCATACGAAGAGCATTGCGATCAAGCGTCGAAAGTAGGCTCTAACGAGGTAGACGTGTCCGACTCTGATATCTCGCTTCTCTTAAACCTCAACGCCACGGCTGCGATGATTCACTATCACTTTGCGGGTAACTTGCTTGCTCAAGAGCGCTGGGATGAGGCTAAAAACGTCACGAAGATTGCGCTAGAGCTGGCAGAGAATTCTAGCATGTCTACAGAAGAGCTGGAGCAACTGCAGCATTGTGTTCACGAGTTGTGGCTGGAATTGGAGTAGGGGCCGCAATCAAGATTTACTGATAATGTAGCATGGCTGCACACAATTATTAGCAACGATTCGTGTTGTGTGTCAACAGAAAGCGGTGTTGTTGCGCCCTGATACAGTGTCCTCGTCACCAATTGAGAGGAGATTTCTTGATGGCATAAAGTAAAGCATATGCACACTCTAGAGACTGAGAGAGTTCAGGCTTTATTTTGCTCGTCCAAACATGGGTATCCAGGTGTAAGGTAGCGAGCGGAACAATGCAGTCAGTAAGTCCTCGACGAGATAAACATTAGCCAAGTTAAAGTCGCTTCGACAATCCATATCACCGGTAGACATGAGGTGCTATTCCTGCGTAGTCCGAATTGTGTAGTAGCCAACCAAGCTTTGCAATGGCACTAGCAGAGCCTAACTCGCTCTCTCGCGCGTACACTTGTCAACCTCCTCGGCCTTCAGAAAAAAGGGTCCATGGCTTTTCAGACTGAAGCGAAATGTCATAGCAAAGGTTGGGGTCGGAATGTGAAGGCTCAGTCGACGTCTTGTCTTCAATACTACACAGAGCAGTCACTGCAATAGTACGAAGTGCCACTGGCAGGCATATTCCAGACGGACCGATTATCAACTTTTCGCGATCGTTGGGTCTTCCTTACATCAATCGTATTGAACGTACTGTTCATTCGTCCCATTCCACACCAGTTTTCTTTTGCCATATATGTACACTGCAGTTGCGCGACTCCATATATACCCTGCCAGGTTCTAACTCCACCATTATGATGAAATGTTTCTCTGTTCGTAGCGCCTTCATACTATTTTCTATCTTCTCATTTGACCTTCTCGCACGAAACCACATCGTTCATCGTAAAAATATTTTTTTCGTCATTCTTATCAGGTCACTTGAACCAAACAGACACACTGTGCTCTCTCCTTCATCAGGACCTCTTCATCTTGAGTGCCTTTCATAGCTTGCACTCTATTTCTGAATAAATTTGCTCGTCTCAGCTCGTCCGATACATCCAGACGAAGTTTAACGTCATAGTCAGCAAGATAAATGTGGCCATCCAGTTGAAAGAAGAGAGGTATACCAGCATCTCCTGCAGAGACGTTACTGCACACCACGGTAGCTTGCAGAGTGTTTTTATCGTTTGTCGCCGTAGAGCAACCAAAGTAACTCGCACAAAACAATTTGCATCTCCCTTATCAGCTCAATTCTATGAAGACTGTATTCGTATCTGCTCTTGCTATCACGCTTGGCGTTGCCTACGCTGCCACGAAATGCGACCTAACGGCCATTGAGTCGTCACTCAAGTCCGACAGAAAAATCAAAAATGCTCTGAGAACTGCGCAGTCTGAATGCTTCGAGGCCACGGGGTACGACATCTTTGACATTTCCGTCTTTCCGACGCCTGAACAGTCCAAAGATGCCCAGCTGAGCAGCTCTTGCTCTCAACTCGTCAACATTGTCAATGTACAAGCCAATGTCGCCAGCCAGTGCACGATCGAGGTGAACGGAACAACCATCAGCTATGGGAAACTCGTCAATGCTTTCCTCGATGGCAAGACGGGCAACGAGTCCGACTCGGGCAGCGGATCTGTTGAATTCCCAAGCGAAAGCGACTCAGGTTCGTCTGAAGACGAAACCAACTCGTCATTCTCGTCCCCAACCTCTACGTCTGGATCGGTTACCACCGCTCTTTCCTTCGTCACGTACGGCGCCATCGCTGCCATCGCTGTTGCACTTCACTAAACTTGCCTTGGTAATACTCCAGCAACTCGCCAGCTAGATTGAAAATTGGTGTGTTTGAGCTTTTAAACTCGACGAAATATAAAAATTCCAGCTTTGAGAGCTTGTTCTTGCATAAGGTATAAACCTACTTGTGTAGCTGTATCATGAGAGCAAGAAATATTGCTACGATAGGAGAAAATCAATAGCCAAGCGACTACTTGTCTCCTGCGAGCTCGCTTCCTCAGCATCCGACCCGCTACTTTCAATGTGGTCGGTGTTGCTATTCACACCAGTTACCTTCTCACTGGTGCCATGGCTAATATTACCATCTGCGGACGTGATCTCGTCTAGGTTGTCTTGCTCTAGCTCTTGTGCCCCAATGTTATTGTCGCTCTCGTCCACGAGCCTAGACTCGTCCGCGATCCGCGCCTGCTGCATCAGCAACGCGATATCCGAGACATTGGCTCCAGCTTGGACCAAGGCGTTAACGAACCCCACGTTGCTTTCGTAAATGAGGATCTGACCCTTTGGTGAGAAATGAAAACGATTCGTGGCATGGTAGATGACTTCACGGCCAATAAACTTGTTCATGAGCTCCTCGTTATCCGCCACGTGCGGAAAAACATTTTCAAACGTGGCGCGCGAAAACACTACGCGCAGATCCAAGCGCCCCGTCACAATAGGGTCGCTTTCTTCTCCCGATACTTCGATGCTGAGAAGGTCCACACGAAAACTCGAGTGGTAGCTCGTGTATCTCTTCCACTGATCCAGTAGATATTCCCGTCCGCTCACTCCACCGAACTGCATCTCCGTGTCCATTGAGCTATGTAGGAAAGCTTCCTGCTTTGCAGCAAGTAAATCACCATTGCTGTTTATATCCGGTCCATCCGTAAGCAATGCTGGTCGTTTTTGACCGACACTTCGAAGTGACGGCATGCCATGCTCGAACAGCACAAAGTACTCTCTCACTAGTCGCACGAGCGAACCGCCCATGCTATTGCGACTGCGCAGTACTTTATTAGCGCGTACGTTGAACAAAAAGTCAAGATCTGCAACCTCTTGACGTAGCGAGTTTACAATCGTCGCCAGGTCGTCCTCGTACTTCTTGCGACGTGCACGGAAAGCTCGACCACGTTCGCTATTGGTCTTGGATCGCTTAACAACCGTTAAAGAGAAGGCATCCATATGATTAAGGTCACTACTGTCTTTGCCTTGCTCGTCTTGTAGATACTGAATCCGTTGTTGATGACACTCAGACGACGATCGGGAGTTCGTGAGACTGCGTATCATGACGTCCAAGGGCTGGTTATGAAGATTCAAGTGCGTCACAGGCACAAATCGACTTAGTTCATTCTCAAGATATACTACGTGCGATGTATTGGAGGGGTATGGAGGACTTGGTAGTTTGGGTCGATACATTATTATCTTGTCCATTTTGTAGGGTATAAATCTATATACACCTAAGCAGAAGTAATTCTTTGGTTTTACTGCACAACTAACCTAACTGTCTGAACTTTGATGAACGACTGCATCTTTTTTATTACGTCGGTCGTCATTTGGCTACAAAATACGGTAGGAACCGGTATTGCAAAAGCTTCATGATTACTACTCACTTATTTTTCTCATAAATTGTTGCCTAATGATGAGAAGCGAATCATGTCAACAACAAAAAGTATAATGGTATTCCTGCAAAAAAAATCTCATGCTCGATGGTCGATATTAGACTCAGTTTTTTATTGTATAAGAAAAAAGGTTAAAGAGATTTTTTATAACGAGAAAAAGAATGCTTGATAATTTGAGAGGATGTTGAATGCAATGTGTTTGTAGTGGACATTATAAAACCGATTCTCATTGTACAAGATAAGAATTGTCGGTTTGTAATTCATGGACGTGGTCGGCCAACAAAAAGAGTTTCATACCGACAATTGAAGAAGTGCTTTAGATGGCACAAACCATTCGACAAGGTCTCCGTCTCGAACGGATTATGGATAGTCTGTGATGGTGATGGCTCGTACTGGGAAAAAGACCAATCCTTTTCGGGGCTAAAACGGATTAATGGACAGCCCTTAAGGGACTCTTATCCCAGACACTCAACATGGTTTGTACATGGAAGACAAATGTCCAAAACAATCACGATGATGATGATGACACACGAACCGAATCGGCAGCCTTCTGATAGCCTGGAATGGTATATTGCTGGATATTCGCAAGGCAAATGACACGATCTCGCGCGACTTTTTATTCAAAGTGATGTGGTATTTTGGTCTGCGGATCCATTCATACAATGATTCGGAACCTCCACCATAACAACACCGTCCGATTTGTAGTGAATGAATTATTATCCGAGCCCGATCCCCGTACTCACGAGCATCCGACAGGGTTGATCGTTCGCATTACTACTTTTTCTTCTCGTGGCAGAAATGCTAGCAATAGCACTATTGCAAAGTACCCAGATAAATTACCATTAGGATATCGCTTGTGAATGCTATCATGCTATCAGCAGTTTTATTTACAACTGCGGTCTTCCGGCTTCCAGAATGGGCTCGGGCTGATTTGCACAACGTACGGTAGCAATTTTTGTGGCATCACTCCGCGTCTACAGGAAGTAGTAGACACAAAGTCAAGCCAGGCCTGCTGTACACGTTAAAAGGTGCTAAAGCTAGTGAATCTACAACAGCCAACACGGAACACGACGCTTGTATTCACAGCGCATCCACAGCTACATGGGTTTCCATGAAGTCTAAGTAGCATTCTCTATCAGCAACATGCACGCTTTTAAATCACTTCAACGCCAACTGTTCCATCCGGGCACATCAATCCAGGCTGCGTGATGCCCCTTACGTGGGTCTGATTCCTTACGTAAGACCTTACTCTATTTTACAAATGAACTTTATAATACGGTACAGCTGCTACTTTTATAAACTTTCACGATGATTTGTTAGAAATAGCGATGTTTCTAAAAATACGGTACGAAATACGGTACGAAATACGGTATTCGTATGTCATTTTATCAACCTGAACATGAGTACAGCACCGAATCTTAACGTGATACGCTACGACGTGCCTAATGGCGACTTTTGTGCGTACTTGAAGGGTTTTTGGAAGCGAAACCTCGAGTGGCGTCACTTTGGTGCCAGTTTTAAGCATTTACGCTCGACAAATAACGTCGTATTCATTGAGGAAGATCTTGACGCAGCGCGACAGCCCAATACGCAGTGCGTATCCTGTTTAATTGTTTTTAGTCACTATAATTAATACTGAAATTGGTATAAAATTAATATATAAGGTTATTTTTTATGGTCATGATATATTTCAAAGGTTTCTTCGCTGGTCATTCGGACGAACTCACCATAAACAGGATCTTGCTCGAGCTTATACGGTGCAGGTGTTTGAGCTCTTTTTACCTCTATTCTGACTTGTGAACGTGGTTGTGTACTTACTTTCATGCTGTATTCCATATTGTCGATAGTTTATTCCAGATGAACAAGGCACATTTATGGAGTGGAGTTTTGAAGGTGTCACATGTCATGGAGTTTTCAAGCCCGAGGCCAGTGTAGCCATTCTTAACTTTTGTCTACAAGAGTCGATGGTTACTATTACCTACCGAGTTCTTGATGCCAACAGTACGTTGTCATTTGTTGTTGTTTGTGGTAGAAGACAGCTATTAATGTTGCTACGGAATGTTTTGTGGTAGCCATGGCTGTGTGCATTGTGGACGTTGACAATGAGCATACGCCTACGGTCCAATACGGAAACATGTATGTGGTAGTAGCAATTTCTGTGCCTACATGCATATCTATTGCTATGACTCATCTGGTATTTTTTGCTGCAGGTATCGCATTAACCCGTCCAAGTATGAGCGTGAACCAGAGGACTGAGCCAGCGAGTAGCTTGTGCAGATCGCACTTAGTTGAAATTCCAGATAATACGAGCTATCTTTGATGAGTTTTTGTTGGAGACTATGGCCCGCAAACATGTGGCGATCGGAGGAACGTTTGCGTGCGACGAAGCACTTGCTCTGCCGTTACAGTATTTGCTAAAGAATGTCGGTATTGTTTTGAAGTGTTTGTTTACAGCAGTATCGGTCTTTAGTCTCAACCAGTCATTTGTGATCAACGTTATAGTACTAATCATCTCTCCTAGATGAGGGGAAGCGTACTCTTTGGGTGGCTAACTGTACTGACGTGTGCCATGTGCAATGATATAGGCTGTGTGGAGTGTCAATGTCGACTTACAATGGCTTCGGTATGGCAGTGTGACAGACTTCAATGAATGGTCCGGCGACGTACTGCATCCTGCGTGTCCAATGGACTTGGTGCTATTACTCGTTCGCTTAAGTGATCTCGAAGCTCCTCATCCTGAGTTGCATCTCTCCAAGAATGGCGAAGATGATGCCAGTGCGAATGTTAGTGAAGATGGTATCGCTGTAAGCCCAATCAATCAATTCCTCCGAGATCTTGAGCGATACGACAACATGGGGAATACAAATTTCGCTGCCGCCCCACTGGTGGTTTTGCTGTGCCCTTGTCCGCCGACTACAGCAGCAAGGTTCGATACAATGGAACACGAAATTCAGAGCAAGACGGAGGCAATGCAAAACGTGACCGTGCAGTCGGCAAGGCGGCTTCTGGCACTCTTTCAACAGCAGTATACGACTGCGTTCTACGACGTTGTCGCCGACAAGCGCCAACATTCACCGTATACTCAAGCAATGTTGAATATAATGAGTCTGTCACTGTGCAGACAGATATGTCGCCTCTTCCGTAGCGACCGGAAAAAAGCAATTGTACTTGATTGCGACAACACATTATGGGGTGGTGCAGTAGCTGAAGTTGGCGCCAGCGGAATCGAATTAGCTCCGCGCTTTCTCGCTCTTCAGCGTTTTGTTGTTGCACAGCAGAAGCGAGGTATGCTGCTTATGCTTTGCAGTAAAAATATTCTCGCGGACGTGACGGAGGTGTTTACAAAACGTCGAGGTGACATGGTACTCGACCTAGATAAACACGTGACAGCCGCCAAGGTCAACTGGCAGCTAAAGTCGGAAAGTATTGCACAGCTCGCCAAAGAACTTTCTCTTGGTAAGTAGGAGGCGTTGGGCATCACGTTTCTCCGAGTCGTTGTAACGCTGTGTGGATACGATGTCATGCATGAGTAGGTATGGACTCGTTCATTTTCATCGATGACAATCCTCTTGAGTGCCATGAAGTTGCAGCTGCCTTGCCCTCCGTAACAGTCATTCCACTCGGAGCAGACTTTTCGGAATCAGTACTAGAAGATGAATGGATTTTTGACGATAGTTTGAACGTAACTTCACAGGCAAACATCAGCACGAAGGAAGATAGTCAGAGGACGCTCCTTTATCAGCAAAACATTAAGCGTGAACATCTTCGTGAATCGTCATCAACGCACAAAGCATTTCTGGGTGCTCTTGGTGTGAAAATCGTGTTCGAAGAACTTGATCGCGAACAAGAACTACGAGGAAGAAGCTCTTCATTTGCTCGAGTGCTGCAGCTTCATCATCGTACAAACCAGTTCAGCACGGCAACAATATTCGCAAAGCGCCTGGAGGAAGAAGCGCTTTTGACATATGTTGCTGCTCCAAACCACACAGTCGTTTGCGCTCATGTGACCGATCGATTCGGTCATTACGGCCTCGTTAGCGTTGCTCTTTGTCAGCGTGTGCGCAAGAGCAATGTTTTGCGTATCGACAGCTTTTTGCTCAGCTGTCGTGCACTGAACCGTGGGGTGGAGCATGCAATGACGCGAAGACTTAGTGAGATCGCTGCAAAGACAGGAGCGACATTTCTCGAGTTTATCTGGGAACAAACCGAGCGCAATCAGCCAGCGCATGCATTTTTCGTGGCGTTGTCTGATGTGAGCTTTGCAGACAAGAGTATTCATGTGGACAAGGCAAGTCTCAGCAGCTCTGCCTCTGGCACTTGGGTAATTACAGCCGACAAAGCGAGCGAAGTGTCTTTTCTAAAGTCGGATGACAGCTTCCATCGAAACAGTTCTAAGGCGGATAGGATGACAGGAGGACTTTTTCTTCGTCGATGTGTCCTGTGGCTCCGAACTCTCGCGCTTTCAGTCCTCCGGTGGACACTGACTTCCATTATATTGCCGCGGTGCATAGCACAATCACTCAAGCCGTCCTTCATCGAGCAGCTTGATGGATCTGGTTCCGTTGGCTTGCTGCGTGTACCCCTCCGAGATCGTGGCAGCTTGGAGCAACTTCTCCGTCCAGTTTTGAACGTACCAAGCGAAGATAATTATGTGATCTCTGGTGCCAGCAGGGCAGACGCAAATGACGACAAGTTTCGAAGGAAGGCACGTCACTTAACCAAGCTGGCACTAGTTGATTACACCCATGAAAGAGAGCCACGCGTGATTTGGTCTGCTAACAGAGTGTATGCGGAGGAACAAGCCGAAGCTAAGGACAATCTTAGCCGGAAAAATGCCTCCACTAATTCAGGCGGATCTGCCAACAGCCTCCAGCCTATTTGTGAGTCTCCCCAGTGTTCAGTAATCATCCAACGTGATAGCCGATGTGCCTTCCAGCGATGCCGTAACTGCTGCTACCGGACCCAGCGGCTCTTCACGCGATCAATGTACCACGAGAATGCTGAGGCCCGACAATCGGCAGTAAAGCAGCTCCAAGTCGAATTCGTAGATGACGCAACGCACATGTCTAGCCAAACGTGTAAAGTGCACCAAAACAGGCGGCGCCTTGGGGAGATGCACAAAGCCAAGCAATGAAAAAGGAACTGTACAGTGTAGTAGTTCGTCGAACGATCTACGTGTAGTTGCTGTCGCTGCTCTGCTGTTTTTCCTCGTCCAAGTCACCGCTCCTGTCGCTGCTCTGCTGTTTTTCCTCGTCCAAGTCACCGCTCCTGTCGCTGCTCTCCTGTTTTTCCTCGTCCAAGTCATTACTTGTGTCGCTGTGGGTATCGCTTTCGGTACTGCTCTCGCTGGTATCACTGCTGGTGCCTGTATCACTGCTGCTGCTGACATCACTACAGCTGCTGGTATCGCTGCTTCTGCCGATATCACTGCTGCTGCTGACATCACTACAGCTGCTGGTATCGCTGCTTCTGCCGATATCACTGCTGCTGCCGGTATCACTGCTGCTACTGACATCATTGCAGCTGCTGGTATCGCTGCTGCTTCTGCTCGTGTCACTGTTACTTTCTTCGACACTGTCTTCCTCGTCGTCAAGAATGGGGCCATATAAAGCTTCGTATCTCTCCACCCACAAAAGCGCTCTGACTTCTTTTGTTGTTCGCGGCGATTTTACTTTTTTCAGTTTATTGAGAATCTCTTCAAGTGTATTACAGTCCTTCCGAAACTCGAGCGAGGTAAGCAATCGCATTGAGCGAGTCGGCATGTTTTGAAGTACCTTGTAGTAGTGCATTGGTAGAATATTTTGCAGTGTTCGCGCGATATCGGTGCGGGTGACCACTCCCAATAGCCCGTTTCGTGTACAAACCGAATATACTGCATCGACAAAGGTCTTTTCATCCACGTATACGATCTTTTTGAGAACCGGTCTCAGCATTTGCTTGATATCCATCAGTCGGAGTCTTCGTTGGCGGACAAACATTGCTGTTTTAATGCGCATTGTCTCCTCCACGACATCCACATCAGGAAAGTGTGGGTGCGAGCTAGGTAGAACACATTGCATCACCTCAACGGCTGCCTTTGCGGCGTCTTTTGTCACTTCAAATACGCCCTTTGCTCTCTGACGACGCAAATATGTAGCAATAAATGCATCGTGCCGCATCATCAGGCCGCAATGGCCGTAAGTCTCTAAGTTTTGATCCAAACGACTTCGGAAGAAGCCCATACAGTGCGCTACCACTTTTGATGTTGGCACTAGCATGTCCGAACGACGCAGCTTTTGATGTATCATCGAGTAGATGTGCTGCACAGTGGCTTGCGGGTTGTTGTAAACTTCTTCTTCGACCATTCCGACAAAAGCCGGGATCAATGGTGGAGCTGTAGAGGTAGAAATAGCATCAGCTTTGCGCTTTCTCTGGACCCGTCGGTCATTCATGTTCGAGAGTCCGACTTCTGATTCCAGCGCTTCATAGAGTTCTTCTACAAATTGTTGGTCGACTTCTTTCAGTGTGCCCGTTCGTGTCGCCACTACTGTCGCCTGGTCACCAGCTGCCTCTCTTTCTACAATAGATTTTCGGTCCATCACGTGCACAGTGTCCGAGCTTCCTTTAAAATCAGGCAACTCTTTTTTCTCAATATCCTCAGCCACAAGCGTAAATGGCATTTCTGAAAACGATGTGTGTGCTACCCCAATTATTGTCGTGCTCGAGACGGAAGGGAAAAAGCTACAAAAGAGCAGAATATATTAGCGTTTGTCAACCACACACAAATCGGCATGTTCAGACGAGCAGTATACCTTTTGAATAAGCGAACGTGCTTCTGACTGAAAGCCACATCTGGCAAAGCCATTGCAGAGCGCAGAGCTTCTGCTATTCGAAGCTGACCAGGAAAAAGTCGATGCGACACAGCAGCACGATATATAGACACCTCCATAAAAATACTGTCACGTTTTGCGACGGCTATTGCTTCCTCTATCGTGCTTGGCCTAGCAAGATAGACCTGTTTCCACCAACCATGCTGCGTTCCCACATCTGCAATTGTTTCTTGGTTCAACGGATCCGTCAATTCTCCTTTGACTTGATCCATCAAATATTCATCCTCATCCATTGCTACAAGCAGTTCTGCCAGATTCTTCCACAACGCCAATGCCATGTCTGGGTTTTTCTTAACATACAAATCGCTACCACACGTATCAAGCGCCTCCACTAGGACTTTTGTCAACAGAAACGATGACACCACGCCAGCGCTAGAGAGCTCCAGCATCTTTTCTAGCGGGTAGCGACATGATGGGTCATTTTCCATCCATCTACCGACAAACAGTGGTTAGAAAGTGGGAAAATAATGCAAACAATAGCGTCAATTGATACCTGGAAAGCGCAGCAACCTGAGCATCCACCGAATCTGGATAGTAGCGCTCCAGGAACTCTGCAAGCTGTCGAATGAAGGATGTGAGTTTTCAAGTAGAATTAAATAGCGTAATGACAAGTGTGTTCCAAATCGTACCATTCTTGATCCGTGAGGATCATTAGGGTTCATGTGAAAAAAGGCCTCTAGGTAGTCGCACGCTGGTTGGACGTCTCCTACCAGCACAAGGAGCTGCACATAGTGCTCCACAAACATTGCCGAATCGGGGTTCTTCGCCACGGCACGCCTCAATGCATTACAAGCGTGTTGATACAAAACGTGGACCCCAATAGGCGTTTTAAGTAAGTAGTTGGACTCAATCACTGATTCGATATTTTCACTTGTGCCGAAATCACCACTCACAGCAGCATCCAAGTCATAATCGTCCTCGTCCTCGTAGTCTGTATCTTTCCGCTCGAATCGTTCACGAAGTTCTTTGGACTCGATAAACATGAGCCAGTAGCATAAAATTCCAAAATTTGCGAGTAACCTTGCATCCTCTTCAGCCTCCTTCATCTGGAATGATTAGAACAAGTAGCACAGCGCAACACATTGAGCTTTACAAATCACTACCAGTGGGGTACCCTCAGTGTTTATTCAGATAAATTAGACATTTACCTGCTCAATTTTGTCTCGGTACATATGATAGGCTTCATAAAACTCCCCATGAACGACGTGAAAAAGCCACATCTCCTTTAAAATCAACATTTTCTACGACAGACACAAAAAGACGTTATTTGTACACCCGCTGCAGTATAACGAAGGTTAAATGGGTTAATACCTACATCGACATGCCGACTATGAAGTTCTAGTGTAGCCTCGTAGAAACTCAACAGCTCATTACGGTAGTCTGATCGCCTGCGTAAGATCTCAAGACTGGCCTACATTACATTAACAAAGGGGTGGGTTCAAACATTGCTTTTGTTGATTTGGGAGCATCCAACCGATTTTTTGAGTGTATAAACGTAGCACTTACCTCAATGCACAAAGCTGGGGTCAGCGCGAATCGATGATACATGACCCCTAGCACTTTTGCGGCGCCTGCATAATCTCGAGCTCCCAAAAGCTGCAGATTTGATCACATACGTTGTCAAAATTATTGCTCTATCCGCCAATAACATCACCACTTACCCTTGGCAGCAACTGCTCAAACGCCAGACGAAGCCGCGTAACTGTACTCTTACCGTTAAGCTTGCGCTTCCACTGATTAAAGTAGATGTATGAATTTGAACTAGATATCAATGCCTTAACTTGATGGTCGAAGGACTTATTGGAAGGCAGGGAACTTTTGACAAGTGGATTTTTATTAGCACCACTTGCCGTCTCCTCATCGTGCGCCATCCCATCGTACACGCTGTCACCAGTCGACAAGAAAGATCCTACAGTATCATTTGGAGCGTCGCCGTCGACTCCTTTCTTATGACTTGCCTTAGTGCTTGCAATCAAGTCGTCGTCGTCTTCCGCCTCTCCTCGTCGATCAGTTCCTAATAATGCCTCGCCATATTCTCCATCCGATGCATCGACATCTTCACTTCCGTCCTTGTAGTCACACTCTTCTTTCACGTATGCATGTGCATTTTCATCCACCGTATATACCATATCGATTGTCATCTCATCACCTTCCATTCGTAGGTTGCGAAAAAGTTCCTAACGTGATATTTCGACTAGATTTAACGCCATCTAAGGAAATAATCTGAAACGTGATATTTCAGATTTCATTGAAGTTGCTGTCCCCTACTCGAGCTCTTGCTCGTTGTCATCGTCCTCACGGAGGAGAATTGCTGCAATCATTTTGAGCTTCTTGTCCATCTATATCGACAAGAGCCGTCACTCTTAGTCTCCTGTATCGATAACATAGTGAGGACATACAATGAATAGCAAGTCGTACGAACCCGATTGTGCTCACGCAGACTACGTGAAAGTTTAGTGTCAGTTGCCTCAAATTGTGCGTGTGACGCAGCGTGACGTTCTTGCAATCCCCGCATGATTTCCTGCATAATGATTTCAATCTGTCCAAAGGTTTCTATCAAGAGTAACAAGATCACGGTATCAGTTAATGCCAGCCCTATTTTTTCCTTCAGTCTATTTAATTCCTTTGCTTGGCACCTTCAACCAACGTCTCGACTTGTTCCTCCTGCTCGCGTTTGCGCTTTCTCAATGTCTCAAGATGTCCATAGCATTTGGCTACATATGGTGTCAGTTGTTCACTACCATCAGCTCCTTCCTCACTGATTAAGTCAGACGCCTCGTCGTCATTGATTTTCTTCCTTGTTGAGCTCCGCATCATAAGAATTTCCTCCTCTTCCTCTTCTTCCCCTTCCGTTGCAACGTTATCACCACTTGATTGCATTCCATCTTCATTTTCCTATAGCGTACAGACAAATAATTTACATCGTGTTTCTTGTCATTGGCTATCGATGCAAAACACTGACGTGAATCGGAGGCATTTCGTGCGACTTTTTCCTAGTCATTTGCTCGGATTTCCTTCCGCACTGACAACACCTTGTTAATACTTAAATCAAATACAAAAGTGAAGCAAATGCGGAATCCATCAAAAGGGAAACCAAAGGACCATCATTCCTACTTGGCAGTCACAACCCCTATATCCGATCTACCAAGGTCAGTCATTGCATATAGCTCAGAATATGTAGCCTACATACAGCTACAAGCACCAAAATTTCATACACACGGAGACACAAGTCGCATATTTCTTCGTGTTTCTCATGCTTACATATGCTGCTTATATACGCGATATAAACAATCTTGTGCTGCACTTTGCTGTAGTAGTTCAATTGACTACGGGTGTTGTCAATTGTATTGCAACGCCTTATGCCTTCTTGTTAACGTCCGGGCGACGTTCCAGATACAGTCGCAGCTCCTCCACCTCCTTTAGATCTCGATGGTATTTATTCTGCAAGTAGCTGCCTAGTCCAGCACCTACGCCCATAAACATCAAATATTCCCACGGTTCTACACCGATACAGCAACATAGAGATCAATTGAGCTTAAAGGGAGCGCAGACTCGCAGACTGTAGCCGTTTCTGCTGTGCTGAAAGAGAGAAACGGTACTATAACGACATGAAGAGGCACGTACGGCGCATATAAGGGACCTTCTGCAGCACGTTGCTACCAATTTTGGTGGAGATGCCCATGAGAGTGCCGACGGCGATGCCCGTGAAGCCCATTGCTGCTAGTAAAGCTTCCTCGGGTTTCTGTACTAGCGGTCATCAATCGCTTGACATTTCCATGCATTTGATTGGTTGAAATCAGAAAAGATGCAATTACACAAATGTGGAACGAATGTCGTTCTAGATTCGAGTAACATCCATGCACGGTTGGTTCAGCCCAATCGACGAAAAGCTACTATCTCATCAAGGACCTGCTTGATCTCTCTCTTCCCATACAGCAGCGATGAGTGACACGAAAGGCAGCAAGAAACACAACAGCAGCAGCAACTACGAGGAGCGTGTAAAGCACGTGTCGATCATTGCAAAGCCTTTGGCTTCTAAAAAGCAGACCAAACGTGCCTACAAAGTGGTCAAGAGAGCTACCAAGGTCAAGGGTATCAAGCGTGGCGTTAAGGAGGTTGTCAAGGGCATCCGTAAGGGTGAAAAAGGCATTTGCATTATTGCTGGAGATATTTCACCCGTCGACGTCATTTCGCATATTCCCGTGCTCTGCGAGGAGAACGATATTCCGTACATCTTCACCCCGTCCAAGGTGCGGAAGGTCTCATTGATGTGGGGATGAAGCTGCTGTTTGACCGTTGTTATTGTTGCTGTTGGAACAGGTGGATTTGGGCGTATCGGCGCTATCCAAGCGACCCACGAGCTGCATATTGATCACACCTAAGAAACCGGGATTTAACGCACAGGAAGCTTACGACGAGCTGTTGGAGGACGTCAAGCTGGTCCAGCCGACGTATTAGATCGTTAGAATGCAGCCAGATGTCTGCCGTAATTCATCAACTTGCATACATGTAGCACTTTATCATTAGTCTGTAGTCTTGCCTTCCTTTGTGCAGTGGTGTGCTTTTACGTTGACTCCTCGACGGCTGAAGGATAACGATCACCGGTGTGTTCACCAAGAGAAACAGGAATTGCTGGCTCATCTTATAGCTATGTCCATCTTGATCGTGAAGGTTCTTGCTGGCTCAGTGCGTAACAAGCATTTGATCCAAAACTGTGGTGTTGTCGTATGTCAGCACTACGTCATTGCAATAAGTCTCTTTGTCATAGCCAAGTCCGACAGCCTTTTACTTCCTTTAAAACAAATCGTGAAAAAGTGTGCGAGCGAGGTCCTCCCAGTTTGCGAAGTTTGCTGCTTGAGGGAAATAGTGAAATAGCCCCTTGACAGAATGGCTCGGATGCAATAGCAGTAACTGAAGGAAGCGCTCCCGAAGGCAACGCCGTTGTGGCGTACGGTCCATCTTCTCGCGGTGGATGTACTGTTGCCAGTATTCCGATGCCAGCGTCACTTTCCACAGCTCGCGATCACAGTGCTGATGTCACGTACACACACATGCAGCAAGCGTCAGTTCAATAAACCTGCGACTTCACAGCAATGGATGTCACTTACCAAAGCAGCGAAAAAGACGGCGACGAGGTCGTATAGTGGATCGCCTGTTTTGGCGTCTGCGAAGTCGATCACGGACGTTGGAGCCCACTCATGTGGCCCAACAAACTTTTTCTTGCGCTTCACTTCGATGGCTGCTAGCCCCACAGGCGTTGTAAAGTCACTCTCACTATCGCTTTCACAGCTACCGTTACTACTGCTGCTACTGGTCTCCCATTCCTCCTCGGTATTAATGCGGCAATCGCTTCCATCCTCTTCACTATCGGCAATACGATCATGGGTGGTAGTGAGCTGCTTCCCATTTAAAATTGCAAGACGAGGCCCCAAAGGAATACCCAGATCCTTCAGATGAGCTTCATCTAGTAACCTCAGCGACTCAAAAGTCAGTTCCTCCTGCTCTACAAGCAGCGAAATGTACTTTTCGCACCCGACAGACTTCAGGAATGACGATATATCGCAAGTGTGGTGTTCCTTCTCTAAGCTTGGCATCACCGCACCGTCTGACTGACCACCAACTTCGGATCCAAGGATATTTTCGTCTGTCAAGTCACCATGAAGCAGCACAGGCTTTATCTCCCAAGATTTCACTGGAAGCAGTTGTGAGACGATAGCATCACTGTTTGCAGGAGGAAGAAAGGTCTCAAGCAGCTTCATCAAGTGCGCAGGAAGGTCACTCTCCATCAGGTGGACTACAAATCAACACAGCAATGTTAGTCATGCATATTACATGTACAATCACTAACAAAACGTACATGAAACGGCACGCTTTCTTTGGCGAAGCATGTAATGGATGTACCAGTCCCACTCAGCCTTGCTGTGCCCGTAAACACCTTGAAATGTTGGCGCGATAGGTACCGAGTGCAAATTGGGCAGGAAGTCCTGACTGATCCAGGCGGCCACTTGATTCCAACTATTAGGAGTCGCGCCACCCTTCTTCGTGATCACGTCTAGGCCTACATCGTTGCTCTTGTACTCTATGACAACATACGGCCACCGCCACATTGGCCCTTCTCCTTCATCATCGTCCACCTCGTCCACATACAAAAGATGCCCAGAGTGATGCAAGTGAGGAACCATTGCGTGGAGCGATCGATGGAAAGGTATTGTGCCCGCTGCTGCTTCAATCATTCTGTAAACAGTCCTCTCAATGCGGAAACAATCCTCCATTGCATATCGTAAGGACATCGCATTCTTCAGTTCGTACGGTCTCAAAATGTTTTGCTTACGACGCTTTGACGGAGATGCAAAAACGCTGTCGGTCGAGTCATAATTTAGAGTCATGTACGCCTCAAAGTCGATCTCGCCCCAATTTTCGTTGTACTGGCTGAAGAACTTCACTAGCAGATGCTTTCCGACCCCAAATGTCGGGTTAACGCGCGAGGTGAGACTCTTCATCTTTGGGTACTTCAGTTTCTTCATGACATTCGTGGCTGCTCCAGTTGTTTTTGGCAGAGCTAGCACTTTGTGGCGCTTCAGAATTCTCTTCAATTGAGGCTTCCAGTACTCTAAGATACGGAACGATTGTTGAAACATCTCTTCATTCAAGTACCCATTCACACGAGGAATCTGAGCTAGGCGAAAGATGTCAAAGGTCTCTGGCCTTGTAGCTCGTAGTTCATGTTGAAGCACCGTTAGTGCTTCGCCTTGTCCATCGTCGAGCATATCTTTCATGAACATAAATGCATTGTGCGAATTCACAAAATTCTGTGTGACTGCAATCGTAAAGTCCAAGTTTAATACGAGATGCCACCAGCCACTGGGAACGTAAATCGTCTCACCCTCTTCTTGAATGATTTCAAGTGGCTTTTGATCAGGCGTGAGAGTGGGGTACACGTGCAAATACCACATGAGTGACGGCATGTTCAAGCCACTATTGAGATACTCGCCGTGCTTGCTGACACTTACACCTGGTGGTGGCGAATTTGGAGGATAGATTGCCCACCGCTTTCGCCCCTTGACAAGTGAATTCCAAGCAGATGTTCTCGCAGGATCCTGATGCCATGGAGCGCCGGTACGCTGAGGTCCAGCGACGATCCAGCGGAAATCAGGTCGGGTAGACCCTGTGGCACGCTTTGTCTTTTTGTCCTTACGCACCTTTTTGCCTCCAGCTTCCAATTTCACGCCCTTGGTTGGTGTCTTCTTGCTATTCTCGTCCTTCTCTGGATTGACAAGGACGCTCAGGAAATCTTCCTTAAACACTTTCAAGTCGTTGATTCTGTAATCTTCAAGCATCGTAGGCATCTTCTCTCCAAATTTTGCATCGAAGATATACAGCGGCGTCTCATCGTGCTGGTTCTTGGCGTATTGGAAGTAGTCGGCAAAGCTCATTTCCATCGTCGAATTGCTAGAGACGATGTCTAGATTGTGCGTAATGCGATGTTTGACGTTGCTTGGAAACCTTTTAGTCAGCTTCTCGATTGTCCACTACATAATAAACAATGTGTCAGCACACAGAACACCCTTATATCTATCAGTCAAACTTCTAGTCCTTCCTACCTCTGTAGACGCCTTCCACTCACTAATAGCATTGCAAATGATGAATGGCATCCTTGAATGTTGCCTACCAGCAATAACAAACAGATATAAACCGTCACAATTAAGAAGCAACCAAGGACCTATTCAAAATACCAGCTCGTACTCGTAAAAGGCCTGGAAAGTCAAGTCTTGAATGTCAATCTTTTGTAGATGACGAATGGTGGGATCCTGTTCTTCACTGAGCAGCAGAAACGTGTCACCGAGGTTCATGTGACAGCGACACCAACGCCGGTAGAGGAAATCTGAGCCAAAGTTTTTCACGACTATAGGACGAAAGACGTCGTTCAGTAACTCCAGTGGTCGCGAGTTCTTTGGATAAAAGGTCGTAAGTTTCCAATTGTGATGAAACGAAAATTCTCCATTATGTAATCGTAGACACTGTCCCATCCAAAGTGGATCCTCCTGACAGAACACATAGAAAACTACAGTATAATGAGACAAAGAAGAAGCGACTGGTAAAATGGGGAAAATTGAGTTGGACGCACCAGAATTAACTTCAGATAGCCGTAATAAATCTAGTGGTTCAAAGAATAGTGTCAAGTACGCGATTAATTCATCTGAAAAGCCTGTAAAGGCAGTGGTAATGAGCGCTGGCTGCATGAACATGGCGTCAAGTCAGCAAGATGCGGACTAAGCGCATGGCAATCGTACAGATAAGTATTTTAACCAATGAGAGGAGCGTATGCTCGAAAGTTGAAGTGAGATGATGATGCGATCGAATTTGGTGTACAGTACATGATAAATCCCATCGACACCTCTTGACACGTAGTGCTCCTTTTGTCAGAAGTTATACCCTATTTAAAAAAAGCCTGGAATATCTCTTGAAGACCATCCGGCAACGCAATCTCTTCACCGTGTTTAGTGCTACTGCTGCTGCTCTACATTGGCGTGTTGAGGGAGATCTCATGCGCTCCTATTCTTGCTGTATATTGTTGAGCTGTATGACAGCGGCGCTGCTACGTTAGGGCCGAATGATTCACTTGGACTGGATTGAGGCGGCATCGCCAGTGATCTGCCAGGCAATCATTTTGCGGTCATTGCCAGTGGAGAAGAACGTATTGCTTGGACCAATGGTGATGCGCCGCACAGCATCCTGGTGACCGTGATTCAAATCGGCGCCCAATGTCGTCTTATACGCAAACGACGGCAGCTCTTTCACTGAAATCGTACCATCCTGATAACACCATTCCACAACAAGACAGATGAGTTTCAAAAGTTTGAGCAAAACAACACAAAGGTCATAGCAGAAACATACCGCCATGCCAATTAGAAGAATCGGAGCTTGTACGGCATCCTGCATGCCACAAAGCGCGGTGACCTGCGAGTCCTGCGTTTCTTTAAACAGCTGCTGGAACGGTGGCGTGAGACCCCACACAATAATCTCCGAGTCCAAGCTGCCACTCATGAGAAACGTCTCATTATTATTCACCCAGAATTCGAGATCCATGACGGCTTCCGTGTGTCCATTTTCCTCAGCCGAAAGTACCTTGACACATTGATACGTCGCCAAGTCCCAAAGCCGAATCGTCGAGTCGACACTCGCCGACGCCAAGATGGATACACCTCCCACTGCAAACGTCTTAAGTCTCGTTACTCCACGCACATGTCCCTCCATCACACCGCCACATTTAAACTGGTTAATTGCCGTATCCATCTGCCAGTACCGAATACATCCGTCCGCACTACCACTAAACAACGTCGCATTGCCCGTCCTGTCCGTGGCCACTGCCAACGCCTGCACATTCATTTTGTGTGCAAATGGCATCGCCTCCGATACTACAAACTCATATGGTAGAGTCTGTGGGTTTTCAAGGTTCCATCCTCTCACCATACCGACCGATACCTTTGGATTAGGTGGAAACCGCCCTTCAAAACCTGCAAATAGAAAAGGGCCACAAAGCACAAGTGCTACAACCCCTTCAGTATGAGGCACTTTGTCTCGTCGATTTCCTCCATTGGTATTACCAATAGTAGTACTGCTTTTAGAAGCAGATGATGGAGGTAGCGCGTCTTGTACATTAATGGTCGTAACTTCCTGCCACGTTGCACAGTCCCAGAGCTTAATACTCGCGTCTGCTGAGCATGTAAAAAGTTGTTGTCTCTCCATCCACATTGTCACGTCTTTAATTGGTCCATTATGACCACGTGTTTCACCAATTGTCTTGACAAAATGTGGATAACGACACGATCGACCACCCGATGTCTGTTCGAAATCGCACTTGCCACTGTCCATAAAGCGTCTGCACACCTCGTTTCCTACAGATGAACCACCACTGTAACCACCACGATTACTTCCATAGGCACCTCGTCCACCACGGTTACCACGTCCACGACTACGACCACCAAAGCCTCCGCGTCGGTTATTATAACTCATACTATTGGCTCGGGCCTACTCTTGTGGTAATAATAAGTGATGGAATTACTAAGAGATAAAACGGGTCGATTATGTTTTAGTGTGTACAAGAAGACCCGGCACACGTCACAGACTATATTCTAAAAACGGGTTTTCTAATTTAGAGATTTGAAAAGCCATTTTAATCTACGAAACAGACGTACCGGTACTTCTTTACTCATCAGAAAAATTGTGTATTATGTCACGGAGACACACGCTATTTGTCAACGTTTTACCGGTATTAAACTTGGACGGTATTAAACATCAAAAAGTAATGTTAATCTGTCAATGCTGTAAATTGTATGTCTTCCAAATATTTGACTACCACTATGCAGCCTTCCTAAAACTCCAAACTTTAGATTGTATCTCATGCACTTTACAACCCTCTTCTCACCGATTAAAACTTGTACTATCACGTTAATCTCTATTTACATCAATCAATCCTATATATTCCTAACAGCTAATTATTTCCCCAGAGTGAGTAAAATAGGCTGTTCATTCGCGTAAAACTTAGCTTTTCGTTCCTTAAAACAAGGTCTCTACTCTCCCTCAAGTCTCTCACTAGTGTACAACTCGACCTCTCAATTCGTCCGAGTCTCTCTCTTCCTATTCTTCTCCATGTCGTCATTGCAACAGGCGAAATGCACGGAAGCAATAGCGCAACTTAAACAAGCAGAAAAAGCATTAACTAAACGTTCATTCTTTCGTAATGCACCTGATTATCTCGCGGCAGCGCCATTGTTGGAAAAAGCAGGCGAACTCTTTCGACTCGGCGGTGATTTTGAAGCCAGTAAAGACGCTTTTGTACGCTGTGCCGACGCCCAAGAGCACAATCAGTCGCCATTTCGTGCTGCTCAAGCGTGGGAAAATGTAGCCAAGACGGCATTGCAGCAGTACAAGGCTGAACGTTCTGGTGTGAAGAGCGTTTATCAACGCACGACCGAAGCTCGGAAAGCTTATGAAAGAGCCAGTGGCCTTTACGTGGACATGGGGGAGCTTGGTAAAGCTGCTGATGCACTGATAAAAGGTGCACAGGTCTGTGAAAGTCACGGCTCAAAGACGGACGATGTCTTGCCACTTTATTGGCAGGCGTGTGACCTGTTGGAAGCACAGGACAAACCTCATTTTGCAGTCGAGACATTTCGTAAAACATTGAGTTTTCTAGTAAAACATGAGCATTACAGTGATGCATTCAAGCTATTGGATCGCATGACGGTACTCTATGAAGCCATGGATCAGAAACATAATGTGCACAAGACCCATTTGAGCCAAGTGATACTCCACCTTGCATCAGGTGATGTACCTGCAGCAGACGCACTCTACTCCCGTTGCTTACAGGATGACTCGTTTCTATCTTCGGACGATTGTGCGCTCGCAGAGGACTTGGTACGGGCGTTTAAGATGGGCAACGAAGAACTGCTGCAGGCTACGGTGCGCAAACCTGGCTTCATGGCGCTTGACAACCAGATTGGCCGGATATGCCGCAAATTGTCGGTGTATGGATCCGGGGATGCCGTTTCTTCACAGCCGAGGCGCCAACAGAGGCCAGCTTCCTCGACTGGAGGAAGCATGCACCAACAGCCGCAGTCAAAGCAACGCAACCCGTTCGCACCATCAGCACGCGCAGAACGTGCAACCCCTGCCGAACGCATACCTTCTTTACGAGTGCCAGCTCCAACGCAAACATCTTTGCTAAACTCGGAATATGCGTCATCCGAGGCACCGACGGCATTAACCACTGATGCACATGACAGTGACTACGAAGCTGCATTGGCCGAGGCGTTTGGTGAAGTAGACGTTTCAAAGAAGAAAAAGAAACTCGCAACACCAACATCGGTCTCCAAGCCTCCGCAACCTGCATCGCCGAAGTGCACCGGTTCATCTTTCAGTTTTTCACCAAACATGGCTCCCTCTCCGTCGCCTACCGCAGCACGTGCTAGCGCTCATGCGAATTATGCGTTCGATGATCTCGAGTTTGCCATGGCGGATTCCGACTCGCTTGAATTTTCGTTGAGCGATTCGGCGGATACTGGCACCAGTGGCCACTCTGATTCATTTGAAACAGCTACGATACCTGCTCCGAAGGCAGATGTACCAGTGGCGAAACCTGCACCCAAGGCAGCAGCTCCTGTGTACGACGAATTCGACCTCACATAGGCTAAGCTTCATGCAAGAAAAGAAAGCGAAAGTGTCGACGCGAGACTCGTATGACGTCGCTTGGATTCAAACCGGAATGGGGCATTGTCGTGCTTGCCTACTTGTTAACGCAGTTCCACATTTCATCTCCTTCTCTGTCACCCTCAGGATGGCCTTCTACATCGACTGAGCGTTTGTTCCTCGGCATGCACAGAAGGAAGACGCCGCAAGTGAAACGGGTTCGGCTTTGACGCATGCGCTACACCCGCCCACACTCTGCTTGGAGTCCCAAGACGTCCTTTATATCGGTGACCGACTCGGAGCTCGTGCACAGGGATAACGAAGAGGCAAAGGCTGCGGAGTACACTGGTAATGATCTAATGAATACATTCGCGCTTCGAATCACCATCGTCGTGCTGATAATTCTCGCCATCTAGTTTAGACGATCACTTCGCCGACATCTTTGTGTCTCATGTCTTCTAATGATCGGTGTTCGTCTGTCTATCTATCATCTTCTCCTTTCCGGCGTAGGATAAGGTCGCTGTGGGAGTCGTTCGCTCGGGCATTAGATGCTACATCTCCTACAAACCCATTTCAAGTGCAAGAAAGTTTGAAAAACATTAGCGTTCATTTAGACGACGACTCGGACTAAGACGCTTTCTAAGCCTCGTGCACAGCCGTGTAGTTATAGTAGATGGTGTTCTCGAATTCTGCATCGCAGAACGGGTACTTGATATCGTCATTCGTGGACGAGAAGAGAGCCTTGCCATTGGTGTACGTGACGTAGCACCCGAGCATGAAGCAAACCACAATGACAATACAAGCAGCAATCTTCTCGTAAGCAGGAATGCGTTCCCACGTCTTGATCAGGTAAAAGATGACTGGCAACAGGATGCAGTTTGTCGTGATGCACGAAGCGCCAATAAAGTCGGCAAATTCAGAGAAATGGTCCTTGAAGACAACGGCGAGAACGACCAGAATGGCGATGATGGAAATACGGAGAGCGACGTACTTGAGCACATTGGAACCAGTGTATTCGGCAGCCTCTTCCTCTGCGTTGTCCTTATGCACACGCTCCGAGTCAGCTACCGACACGTAAGACGTTTTGGAGGGGCGGTTCGATTGGAGCAACAAGTCGTTGGTGTGGAAAGCATCCACCTGCTTGGCTTGCCCGTTGCCAGGGGTAGCGCTCTCTTCGAAGGCGAATCCGACCTCAATGTCATCAGTCGTCCTCTTATGCATGCCCAGGAACAAACGCTCAGCGATGTAGAAGGCCGGGTTGAGGATGACAGAAAAGGCGATGGAAATGTGGAGCTGCATGAACAAGTAGGCAAGCACGACAACGCCCCAGTTTGGTTTGAATCCAAGCGGTGTCAGACCAGTCTCACTGTTGGGGTAGATCGTGAAGAGCAGGTTGCCCGAGATCTGACAGCCTATTGCCGAGTAGGCAGTGCTTGCAAGGACTAAAAACAAGACTGACACAAAGCTGACAGTCACTCCGACCACACGAGGCATACGACTTGGATCGCTGTGTTGACGCTGCAAGTCCGGAATGACGATACCGGCACCATAGGCGAGTGACAAGTTGCCGAATACACCGGCGACTTGAGAGAAATTGAGATCGGGGGCCGGTACGCCCGGGTGACCACCCATGCCGTGCATCACGACTGCAACACCAATTATGTCGGCCATGATTGTGCCTACGCAGCCAGCAAAGGCAGCACCCGACCCTTCCTTTAGCGTTGGAACTAGACATACCGGTAAGACCATGAGCGCCATGAGTATAGTCCATGTAGCCTGGGTGAAAGCATCACGGAAGAGACCGTAGAGTAATTGGCCGCCGAGAACCAAAAACACACATGGAAGGAGCAGACATGAGCCCATTTGTGAAATGACACACAACCAGCGGCCAGTCATGCCCATGCTCCATTCGCCGAGGTCTCCGAATGTCTTGACGGACTTGGGTGCCAGTAGCATCACTTTGGACATTGTAATGGACGAATAGATGTTGACAAAGGCCATAAAAGCCATGGCGACCACAGCGAGCACCGGACCAGCGCGAGCAAAGTTACCAGGCATACCAAGTGTACCAATGCCGTAGATACAGCAGAAGAGGTTAAAGGCAGACTTGCAATCCTCACCAGTGAGAAAGGGTCCTTTCGAGGGCATGGTAGATGACGTCTGATTCGTAATGATGAAGCGGATGGAGAAGGTAAAATTGGAAATGAGCAAGACCAAACTCTTTGGCAAACGCAATTGAGACGTTGAAGGCAGTGCTGCTAAAAAATACGTGTCGAGCATTGCAGCACAAGTCGGTTCATGGATTGTGAGCTGCTCGAGTGCATAGACTCAAGGTCTTGGAAGCCGAAAGGCCAACGTCGAAAGTACTCTTGATTTGGTTTAAGTATTGGAGCTCAAATCCTTGCTGCTTCGATCGTGCCTTTGTGGAACAAAGCACGAACATGCTGAAGCATACAGCGCAGGACGGTGGATACATGCAAGACTCGTTCTCGGTCAGACTCTTGCTGTAAAAGTGTTTTTTTGGGGTGTTAATCACAAGAGGGGGGGAGGGTTAGACGATGATGCACTTATGCTTTGTTGTTGATGATGGCAGTGCTGATCCTGTACAGACCAGTGGAGACAGCCAAAGTTTACGCCACTGAAAGAAAAGCATCGTCGGACATGTCGGCAAGAAAGTGCACACAATTCACTGGACGTACACTGGACAGGATGGCGGTTCTGCTGCTTTCGTTTCAAAAGGGCGGCGTCACGAACGTCGAGTCCAGCGGGATGCACCCGCAATGGCTACTGCGAGCCAAGCTGCTGAGACGGATGTGGCATATCAGCAACGGTGTTGCCCGGCTCCACTTCGACATCTTTTCATCAATCCTCTGTTTCCAAACCGATGGGTGGCATCGTGTCACATGAAGCTCAACATGGGGTGACGCGAAAGCCGGATCTCGATCTTAAGAGAAGACGTTGCTGTCTCATCCATCAATACGGCTACACACCATGTGTGTTCATCCATTGGCCACTTCGCGTCCGGATCTACACGAGCAATGCGAGGAGGTGCAGACTTTCGACGCATACATAATCGAGCGATCAGGTGGAATATGGGCAAGATAATTGAGGACGACAGTAAGAGCTGCACTGCACTTCGATGCTGAGACTGTGCTCAGACAGCAAACATTTGCGAGCAGCCGCTCCCCCTCTCAGGAAAAGATGCGACTGATCTAATACATCACCTGAATAATTGGATGTCTAGAAATTTGGTCAACTATTGTATCCGATGACGGTCACGCCTGACAGTATCGTAAAGAAAAAAGAGAAGCATCATTGAGCTGGCTAGCAATCAGCCGAATCTATTGTATTCGGAATGACAATCACGAATGCCTGCTCTTTAATGCCGGGAGAACAAAGCATAAGCTTTACATGGCCTTGATGATACACTTACTTCAATTGCAGTGATTGTTATGTCACGAGGTATCTACTGCTTTCAGGTACCTCCTCCCTTGTCCTAGCTTTCGAACGGTTGTCAACACCCGAGTCTTGTGAACACTGGGTAGCCTGCCTACCAGCAAAACAGCACAATAGCGAGCGACGACCGGACCAGCGTCTTTTTTTCGTGGCACGCCTCTTCAATGCATCACTGCCAATCTTACAAACAGAAATAGACAGCGACATGAGGGTGCTGAGAGAGAGGGCAGACGAGTAGTTACATCCTGGTAGATTCGAGAGAGAGGCAGACAAGTATACTAAACCTGAAATGGTTGCAGGATGTCTGGCAGATCCTAAGCCTGGTTAGCAACGCCGGTTCCTCGTTCCGGTGGTAGTATAAGGCTTGTCACGGGTTCATTGAATTTTCGTGTCGGTTCGTCAGCACTCTCGCTTCGAGACGACGCGAAGTTGCCTCATACCGGTCTACTAAAATTCATGCACGCTGCCGGCGATGGTCACGTCCGCTTGCTGGAACGTCATGCGGTTGCGTTGCATCCACAAGCTGGTGTTGCAAACGCTGCTCAGGATGTGCCATATGCGTGTCCACACGGCGTTGTATGCGACCGCCACATCGGGGTGGTGCCGGGCAAAGGTGTTGCTGGACCACCGTTGATAGTCGTGGCGCGCGTCTGCTTGCACTGTTTGCTAAAAAGCTATGAAGCCGTCCAAGCTCCCATCGCTCTCCTGTCCAGTGGCTTCTGCCAGCAGACTTGTGCGCACGGGCATGTCCAGCAATGGTGTTCCATTGTTTCTTGCACTGTGTAGGCCTGTATGAGGTGCGGGGGGGGGGGGCAGGAGTAGGTTCTTTCGCCCTCCACCCATAGCTTAGTAGACCCATGTCACGGTCTCCACTCGCTTACTTTCCGGTGAGAGAGCGAAGCAACTCTATGGCCAATCCTTTCATTTGCTCCCACCTGTCGTCACGGCTGAGTAGTTCAGACACTCACGATTTACTCTTTTGCTCTGTTCTGCTCTCTTGTGTGCACTTGTTTGAACGTCAAGCTATTGACAATGCGATCTGGCCCGGTCGGATTTCGTACCCGGCACCACTAATACAGGTTACTTTACTGCCATCTGAGCCATACTCGGCCCCGGACACCATCGCAACCATTCGTTTGCCATCGCTTATCCACGTCCACGGTCGCTATATCAACATGTAAAGCGGACAAACGGAGGCAGGTCACTGTAAAAAAGTGCCAAATCGCACCGTCAACATGACGTCAACAGCATTGAGGTAACTAGTTGTACAACACCATTAGTATGAACACGACAAAGCGCTACTAGCATCACTACCACGGAGAACAAGTTCTCACTCAAGGTAGTATTACTTTTGTAGGACTACGATTAAACGGTAGTGTCGTATCGTGTGATCCTATCCAGTCAATCGTGAATAGTTCATGTCGGGTCCCATCAAGAATGACAAGAAGCGTAGCTTCACTATTGAGGAGAAACTCAAAGCAGTGGCGGTATGTAAATCGCAGTCTTTATGAGCTGCAGCTCGTCAGTTTAATGTCGATCGCAATTGCATCCGTGCGTGGCGAGACAAAGAGACGAAGTTGCTGGAAACGCATCCGAAGGCCAAACGTCTTTCAGGTGCTGGACGACGGTCGTCGTATGCTGCAATAGATAGTGAAAGTAGTCGAGCGATTGATAGCATGAATGAGAATCAACAAGTAGATCAGAAGAAGAGACGTAGGATCGAACACGAAACGTTCAATTACTTGCTCATTGGGTTTCAAGGAAAGGAAGGGGCTTTCTCCGAAGTAGCAGCAAAGATGGCGTTTGAAGAACTGCGAGCTGCTAATGCGCTGGCACACGATGATTTCATGACAGTGGGGTTTTCACATACCAATCATGTGGTGGAGGCAATCGAGAGAGGGACAATGACGTTTGGTGTGCTACCAGTGGAGAATTCCATCTCGGGCACTTTCCACGGTATTCTAGACCGCCTCGTGGCCTCACACCTCAAAATTGTTGGTGAGGTAGCCTGTGTCCAGGAACTCTGTCTGTGTGTATTGCCAGGAGTAACTTGGAGCGAGATTGAGCAGCTATCGTCGCACCCGGCGGTGTTGGATCACTGCGAGAACTTCATCTGCGCCATGGAGCGCAAAAGCGGCAAGATCATTAAACGCAACGCTGCGTGGGATAGTGCTGGTGCTTGTCACGACGTCAAACAGACGGAGAATTGCCATATAGCTGCCATTGCTAGTGAACAGGCTGCTCATGCACACGGGCTTGCTGTGCTGGAACGAGGTGTGGGAGATGAGCTCAATAGCGAAACACGCTACATGATTCTTGGACGAATGGATGCGTCACCACTGCCATTAGGCGCAGGATCAAGTCCACCAACAACAACCAAATCCAGCATTGTCGTGGCTGTGCCTAACGAACCCCAAGCGCTTTTCAAGATCGTCTCGGCTTTCGCGCTCCGCAACGTTATGATCGTCAAAATTGAGAGCCGCCCAGCCGCTACTGCCGGAAACCTCTTCACAGCGCAGACCACGCACTGGGACTACATTTTCTACATCGATTACATCACGAGCCAAGACTCAATCCAGGAGGCAAGACTACGCGAGAATCTAGAAGAGTTCGCGCTGTGGGTCAAAGACTTGGGCACGTACTCGAGCAGCTGTGGCAAAACTAGCGTCGAACCTCCACGCTGGAAAAGCATACTGAATGCAATTGCGTGCTAATGCAGTCATGAAAGTCACAGACATAGCCATTTCTCTGTGGAGAGGGTGAAAAATGTCCGAGCATTTCTGTCATCGATAACGCATTGCGCGATGCAGTCATCGCAAAGTCTCCTGCTACTCTGAATGGTGGTTATGGGCTACGTATCTGCGGCAGACGACACTTTCGCAATCGTGAACACTGAAGCGCCATTCTACCGCTTCCATCTTGCGGTCTAAGTCGTGTGTAAATGAATTCGTTATAGTGTGTGCAATGGCTGGCAAAGTCGTCATTCCGTCGTTGAATTCGAGGAGCTAAGGTTGATGTGGAAATGGTTGCGATGATAGAGATGAGTGATCTCCGTGAGTATTTAGGTGGCGCTGAGCGATTTCAGCAGATGGAGAAGACTTTCGGGCATATGGGGACGGTGCAAAAGCACTGGACGGTCTTGCTTTCTCAATTGTAGACGATATGTTTAGTTGTTGTTGCATACCAAAGCCCTCTGCGTCACCCCAAATTTCTTGATCGGGAGTGAACACTTCGCCAAACCCCATTACTACAACACACTGCTACTGACGGAGAATCGGCTCCATGATCGTAATGACAGTGTAGTCCCCTACGCATGCTGGAGACCTAAACAATAACGACAGCTATAGCAGAGGCAGCAAACAGATTGCTTCATTTGATACTAAAGTTCTTGAAGAGATGTACAGACCACAAAGCTGAGCAATGGCTTGCAGTGTGTGGGGGGGTCAAACGTAAAGTGTGGCTGCTTTCTCGATTCGTCTTGTCTGGTTTTCTCAGGGGTTTACTGCATTTAGTAGTAAGCCCGAGAAAGGCTGACGCAGATAAACCAACCAAGCAGTATGCTCACCCCAAATACCCTTAGCCCCTTTCATCCTATCGCTACGCCGTCCAACAACCGTGAGCTAGCAACAGATAGGACAGAAGTACAATGGGCAACTGCACCAACTATGAGGCTCACCTACAACGCGTCCATTGTCATTTTGGCTTCAGAGGACACGAATGACACCGTTTCCACCTTAGACGTGTGCTTGCGCGCTGTCATTACAGCAGCAGAACGAATGGTGACTCTAGTGCGAGAGCCTCAAAGTATAGCTGTGGTTATTGCGTACGATGAGTGTCTCGATATTATCACTGCAGCGGTGAATCAAATTGAGGAGACGGTACCACAAGGAGCTGCAAATGAACACGTTCTTCAAGTGTATCAAGCTATGCGCAGTATTTACGAGTTGCTACGACCAAGTCCCTCTGTCCGTCGAGCTTTGCACTTCTAAACCATTCAACATTCAACACTGACATTAGACCGACGACGATGAAAAGATCTATAGTATGATTAGCGTCAAGGAATAATGGATCATACTGTATGTCATATATATGACCTATTGATAAGAGGAATAGGAATAACAATAATGTAAGCCCACTATTTCTTCTTTGTCTCTTGGGTCAATTGTGCTCGTGAGTACAATATCACAATAATCAAGTTACAAAGCTGTCTTAAACCGTGCTTTTAGTACTTAATAGTACTCTTAATATGACTCATAACTACTCCTATTAAGTGGTGTTGACCGAATTTGTAACAAGGACGCCCACTTTTTCAGTGTATCTTGTTGTATACTTGTATGAAGCATAGAGAAAAAGAACCTTTTTTGTCGGATAAGATTGTTGGATACTGTATACAGTTCTCTCTCTATTGTTTCTTATTGCCTTGTACAAAGTATACTTAATCCAATATATCCAGCGTTACTTTTACAAGATTACCAAAATAAGCCCCAACTTTAGTCAGCACCCCGCTCATGCCGCTCCCTCTTGTGGCCTTCTCATCTCCGTCTCTTTTTCGCTTTTTCTGCAGTCAATTAGCAATGGAAAAGTCTACAAAACCACCACGTAATCAACTTGTAACTCTAGACGACGTAGAGCGACACATTGTACAACTAAATGCACAGTTGCCACCGGCTACGAACCGCCGCATGGCCAAGGCCGAATATAAACGGCTTAAACATTGCGAGACAGTGCGGCAATCACGGGTGCGAAAAAAGGTACAGGGTGTATACTTTATGAGAAAAGTGTCTATTTATTTAGATAGGGGGTTCTTTTTTTCTCTTACGATTTGCATGGTAGAACGAACGTCATGCATTACGACAGGTTCATGAAGAATTAGAGACCGAGCTGAATCAGATGCTGAGTCGCTATAAACAAGAGCACAATTGGATGCAGTTTAATGAACAGTCAGTGCGAGACGTTCTGATGAAGAAATTTGTGCACTCGATCTACGAGGTGCGGGGGTTACGGCGAGAAGGAGCAGAATTGAGGGACCACTTTCTAATGCACGACGCACTGGGCGAGCAACTTGAGCGACTACAAGAAGATTTTTGTATTCCAAAACAATTGGATACGAGAATGTCCATTGGGACTGTTCATTTTCAAGAGATCAGTGTCGCTGAGGCTAGAGATATCATGGTGGACTCGCATCGACAAGCGACGTCATTTTTTGAGACGATGCAGGGAATGGAGACGAAAGAAGAGGACAAGACAATGGGCTGGACACAGCATCAACGAATTACGTTGGATGGACGAGTGCAGTTTAATTTCACAAAGAGAATTCACACGATTGGGACGGAGGAACTTGTGCACAAAAGCTGGGAAATGTACTGTGACTTTGGTCTGTATCACGGTATCTACGCATCCGTGCAAAAGCTTGAGATCTTGCAAAAGATCAATGACAATACGCTCTTGATACGACGAGACCTGCAGGAAGGAAGCTCGGCGCCTATTTTCCGCACAGTATTCTTGTTGTTTCGCATCAGGTTGTCGAACGGATACCTTATTTGCTTTCGGTCTTACGACCCTGGAGTGTGTATCGAGGATGACGACGACCCGAATGTACAGTGGATGGAGATGTTTTACTGGCTAATGATTACAGACTTGCCTGTTGAGGAAGCAGCTGAAAGTGTTGGAGGCTCCTCATGGCCGCCAGTCCAAGGCTGCGACGTATCGTTTGGCGGTAATCTGCTCAATAGTGGGAGCGCCAAACACGCTACAATCTGGAAGTATCAGATCGCCGTGGCACTTTTGCGATGGGAAAGCAATGCTGCTGCGCCATTATTTGCGCTGTATGGATAGTTGATCTCGATGTTGTAATGAATATTTAACGCTTCAGGCGTAGCGGATGAAGTGCTGTCGTGGACCATCCTCCACTTCGACAAGAAATCAAGCAAAAGTGTTACTGTCAGTGCTTAGAAAAATGAAAGACATCAAGTGTCTTGCCGCGAGCTTGTACTAAAGGTCCGTGTCTGCTTCCTTTGCATGCTGAACGCGACTACTTCCTTCGTGTCGACACTTGGTAGCAGTTTTTCTACTTTCGTACCCGAGTTGATACTAACGACGTGGCTGGAGCTCTTCCACGTTTTTCGAGATCACTCACCACAAGGTCAACTTGCAACTTGGTGAGCAAAGTTGCATGAACACGCTGAGACGCTATAACTTGGCGAGTGAACTCCATTCCATGAAATATACTCGAGTCGGTCTTGATGTCATGCACTCCGATGATTATGACATACATATCGCAGCTTTCGCTCCAATGTTGCATTGGAATTTTATCAACGCGAGACAGAACGCGCGTGAACGGAGGAATTGACATTTGCGTGACGGACCCCTACATGCCACAAAGAAATGCTACGATCTCGATCTTGCGCTTGAGACAAAAGTCACGAATGATCATGTACTTGGCATGTGCTTCAAGCACCCAAGTGATGCCAGTTGTTCTCGTCAAGCGCTCTTTTCTCCGCAACAAGATCTGCACTATGGAAACCATCAAGCTGATGGCACTATTCTTGCAACTATAGCCATTGGAGGCTACGAATTTGGCTAAGAATGGGTTCTAAGCCTCATGATCAGCCGTGTAGTTATAGTAGATGGTGTTCTCGAATTCTGCATCGCAGAACGGATACTTGATATCGTCATTCGTGGACGAGAAGAGAGCCTTGCCATTGGTGTACGTGACGTAGCACCCGAGCATGAAGCAAACCACAATGACAATACAAGCAGCAATCTTCTCGTAAGCAGGAATGCGTTCCCACGTCTTGATCAGGTAAAAGATGACTGGCAACAGGATGCAGTTTGTCGTGATGCACGAAGCGCCAATAAAGTCGGCAAATTCAGAGAAATGGTCCTTGAAGACAACGGCGAGAACGACCAGAATGGCGATGATGGAAATACGGAGAGCGACGTACTTGAGCACATTGGAACCAGTGTATTCGGCAGCCTCTTCCTCTGCGTTGTCCTTATACATACGCTCCGAGTCAGCTATCGAATCGGACGACGTTTTGGAGCGGCGGTTCATTTGGGCCACCGAGTCGTTGGTGTGGAAAGCATCCACCTGTTTGGCTTGCCCGTTGCCAGGGGTAGCGTTCTCTTTGAACTCAAATCCGATCTCAATGTCATCAGTCGTCTTCTTGTGCATGCCCAGGAACAAACGCTCAGCGATGTAGAAGGCCGGGTTGAGGATGACAGAAAAGGCGATGGAAATGTGGAGCTGCATGAACAAGTAGGCAAGCACGACAACGCCCCAGTTTGGTTTGAATCCAAGCGGTGTCAGTCCAGTCTCACTGTTGGGGTAGATCGTGAAGAGCAAGTTGCCCGAGATCTGACAGCCTATTGCCGAGTAGGCAGTGCTTGCAAGGACTAAAAACAAGACTGACACAAAGCTGACAGTCACTCCGACCACACGAGGCATACGACTTGGATCGCTGTGTTGACGCTGCAAGTCTGGGATGATGATACCGGCACCATAGGCGAGTGACAAGTTGCCGAATACACCGGCGACTTGAGAGAAACTAAGATCGGGGGCCGGTACGCTCGGGTGGCCACTCATGCCGTGCATCACGACTGTGACACCAATTACGTCGGCCGTGATTGTGCCTACGCAGCCAGCAAAGGCAGCACCCGACCCTTCCTTTAGCGTGGGAACTAGACATACCGGTAAGACCATGAGCGCCATGAGTATAGTCCATGTAGCCTGGGTGAAAGCATCACGGAAGAGACCGTCGAGTAATTGGCCGCCGAGAACCAAAAACACACATGGAAGGAGCAGACAAGAGCCCATTTGTGAAATGACACACAACCAGCGTCCAGTCATGCCCATACTCCATTCGCCGAGGTCTCCGAATGTCTTGACGGACTTGGGCGCCAGTAGCATCACTTTGGACATTGTAATGGACGAATAAATGTTGACAAAGGCCATAAAAGTCATGGCGATTACGGCAAGCACCGGACCAGCGCGAGCAAAGTTACCAGGCATACCAAGTGTACCAATGCCGTAGATACAGCAAAAGAGGTTGAAGACAGACTTGCAATCCTCAGCAGTGAGGATGGGTCCATTCGACATAGTAAGCGACGTCTGAGGTCTGGAAAGGTGAAAAGTTGTGACGATGACGCGGAGGCACCTCTGGTGGAGGAGATGGAATTGAAAATGAGCAGAACCAAACTCTTTTGCAAACGCAATTTAGACGTTGAGCCAGCGCTCGCCACGAGCCAAAACAGTTTGGTCCACAAGTCAAAACAGCTCAGTCCATGGCTACTCCAGTGCATGGAATCAAGATCATAGCAGCCAAAAGACTGACCGATAAACGTTGATCACGATCAGTAATTGACTACTGCCGATATTGAGTGTTCAAACGAGACCCATCGCGGTGATGTGTGACAAGGGTGCGAAAACTACCTTGAACTTGAAGCGCTCTTGTCCAAATTGAAGAAACTTCAACGTTTCGAGCTTGCGCGAATGCACGATGCAATCTCCAATGTAGCACATTGCTACTAATACGCAGCGCATCATGTGTACTAATTTCAGAGCTCCCTCCCTTGTTTGAGTAGATCCGAACAGTACCATACACCGGTCGAAACGCATGCATGTTGCCTCCCCCATAGTGTAAGCGGTCAGTAAGAATGGGGTTCCAGTAGAAACACCGACGTAAGAGAATCTAAAAACTCGGCTTCTATCACGAATTTGAATGAGTTTGGATAGTAATCATCGATAGACTTGCCATCAAGCGTCGCTAACCTTGTGACGTCTTGCACCTCCTCATGATCGTACGATGTACTCTCACAGTATTTAATGTCAACCAGAAAACAATCAATGTCGCTCTCACGCGAATGAAGCGGTTTTCCCAATATTGCCAATACGTTCGCGGTATCCGATCAAAGGCAGGATGAAACACCAAACGGTACTTGGAGAAACATTTGAACATCGTCATCACTGAATCAACGAGTCTTCGATACATTTCTTGGGCAACATGGCTGACTTGGTATACCCAAGACGTGTTGGTTGGAAAAGCGGTCTTTGAATATTGTAGAGCACCATGACAACGTAAAAGCTCAGCTGCGTGCTTACCAGAGCACCTCGAAAGCAAAGCGACGTGCTTGCTAAATTTTGTCAAAGCACTGGTGCATATGGACGCGTGCTAGCTTTCTTCCGCTCGACGAAAAGATTGTAGCAGCATGTTCGTTAGCAAACGGCTTCCGCAGCACCACCAGCGACTTTTCGTTTTCCAGGAATGTCCGGTCATGCATAGATAAATCGAAAATGGTAGACAGAAGAATACGTTCATCGTCAGACATGAGGCACCAATGACGTCGGTGAAGACGGAGAATTAGCACCAAGATCTCACTATACGACAGTATAAACTGCATCGATTCGCAAACTTGTCTTCACTCCACGACGCACACCATTAACTACATAACGTAATACACATCAAACCCTGAATAAACCTGTGATCGGCCAATAGCTGACTCGACTTTACGTACGCTCATGCTGCATCCTTGCTTCTCTGTAACGCTGTGTCAATCTGAATTTGGCTTTGTTAGATGAAAAAGCCTGCCGATCAACATGATGATGACGGCAGGGTGAAGATTGGGCCAACCATCATACTTTCCCACTTGAATACAGCCGACAGCGTGTTCATTGAAAGCGTTGCAACCAACTCGTGGTCGCCATAATCCATACACCCACCGCACTCTATCTGTGCGCCTTCCTTGTACAACAAATCATAAGTTTTTCCATCAGCAGTAGGCTCAAATACGAACCAACCTGACAGCTCTGTCCACTGTACAAGCTTGCCATCTCGGCTGACACAACTCCGCAAAGGATCAGTGAGACGTCCGGCCTCCACCAACTGCACGCAGATGAGAAAGCCGTTTCGAGTACGTACACGAAACAACAAATACACGCATCGGTACAGTTTCGAGCCATCTTCGCTCTCAAACTCACGCAACGCCACAATCGTGTCATCATTTACGCGCTGTAGGATGTGGAGAGTCATGAGACCGCGAAACTTGGTCTCTGTGCACTCCGGATCCGAAAAGCACTGCCACGTGCTTGTCATCAATTTCAAAGCGTTCTGTCGAGGGAACTGTTTCCGCAGCGAAAACTTGAGGCTCGTCCCTTCCATCAGCCGCTTGTCCTCCCATCCCATGATACTGGCTCCAGTACTGATAGCTTTGCCACTCAACGAGAACGAAACAATGGAGCGGTAGGTCTCGTCCACGAGCACTATCGCCTCGCTGAAGCTTAGCATCTTGTATCGCAGCTCTTTTTGCATCAACACAGCCAATATAGTCTTGCTAGTGACAGTTGAACCCACCAATGACGGACTTGGTTTGCTATAGAATGGCGTCTTGATCTCCTGCGTTGCACTCAGCGGCGATAAATTGCAGTCATTTGCAAGTATCGTCAGTAGCGTGCTCGTGTCAAAAGACATGGAAGATAAGGACGGCGAGGCTACACCGACCGAAATGGTGGACAACGTCGACGTGGCGTCTGAATTGTCCGAGTCGTCCAAGGAAATAAATGCCGCTTTCTGGGCCAGCGCCACCACGTTGGTAGCAAACTGATATCGATAGTTCAGCAGCCATCTCAGCCTCGTCGCTTCCTTGTTCAAATGTTCCTGCTCAGTGGTCAATAGCGCGTATTGTCGCTGAACGTGTGATACGTTCCTTGATTCTTGGACGCAAAAGTCACGGCTTTTTGTTTCTCCTTTGATAATGATAATGTCTCGAGTTGTTCTTCCAGCTCCTTTACAGTATCATGCAGACTCTTAAGTACAGCCTAAAACACATGGTCAAAAGTTGATCGATCGTAAGTACCAACTAGTGTCAAAATTGAACCATCGTAAGTACCAACTAGTGTCAAAATTGAACCATCGTAAGTACCAACTAGTGTCAAAACCTCATGTCCTTTAGTACCAACTAGTGTCAAAATTGAACCATCGTAAGTACCAACTAGTGTCAAAACCTCATGTCCTTTAGTACCAACTAGTGTCAAAATTGAACCATCGTAAGTACCAACTAGTGTCAAAACTTCATGTTCTTAAGTACCAACCAATGTCATAAGTACCTTATTACGGTGATACGCTCGCTTTACGACCTCGCGGTGTCTCACACGATAACGATATCATAACGATCGGTGTGTTTTGTGGCTGTAAGGTGTTTTCCATTATTGGTTCAGTCATTAACAAAATGTTGAGTAGCGTCTGATCGTCGGTGTTCCAGTGAGTGGCCATGGATGGCATTCATGGGGCGAAACGACCTGCATTTTGTCTCCCACGACCATCACTCTATACTTGTACATTTCATCAATTAACTGTACTATTAGCTTTGTAATAGACAAAATCTTGGATTTTATCTATTACTTTTTGATTGATATAATGTCAAAAGTGTATCATTTTAAACTATCTTTTGCTGACGTATCATGTCGTTGGTGGATAAAAACCGTCACGGTTGTGGGGGTGCAACGTCCCGAGGAATGCCTATCAACTTTACGTCTATATTGCTGCTACTATGTGGCATCTTTGCTGTATTTGCAGCGTTACTTGCTCGCCATGGATTTACTGGTAGAGACCACGGTACAGATTCATATTATCTTGAAATAATTATGGATAATATCGACTTTTTAGCTAATGAATTATTGTATGGACAGTGGTGGGCATTGATTTGGGTACAACGTATTCAGTTGTAGCCATATCTCAAAAGAACAGTGTGACTGCAATTGCAGATAGTGACGGACATGTATTGATACCATCTACTGTAGCCTTTTTGCCCCATGGAGGTACAAAATGTGGATATTTCATGGATTTTATCGCGATATTTTCTAATCTTTTTTTTAATTGTGTTTTTGTATAGAAATAGTAGTTGGTCGAAAAGCACGAGCGCATTTAATAAAGGACCCACAACATACAATTTTCAATGCGAAACGATTCATCGGTCGGAGGTGCGAGTGCATGATGAAAAGAGAGAGATGTATAAAACTGATATTTGTGTCTATCTTCAGATATGAAGAGGTTTTGAGCTTGGAGGGCAATTCAGATGGTGTTATGCCATATGAATTCAGTATAAAATCTCTTCAAGATGACAACAATGATGGAGTTTGTTTTATGCTGGATGTACATGGTCAGCCTGATTGCGTTACTCCTGTGAAAATTGGTGGTGCAATTGTGCAGCATCTTTGCAATATGGCACGCCGGTTCATCGGTCATGACCAGATTACGAAGGCAGTAATTGCAGTGCCAGTGGACTTTAACGAGAGACAACGCAATGCGACAGTGGCGGCATTTCAGTCGGCAGGATTGCAGGTGTCACGTGTGTTGGAAGAACCGACGGCTGCAGCAATTGCTTATGGCCTGCACCAGGATCCAAATGTGAGTTTCTTACTGGTGTTTGATTTCGGGGGAGGCACGCTGGACGTGTCACTGCTTTTCGCACGAAACGGAGCTATCAATGTGCTTGATACACTGGGAGACAGCCATTTAGGGGGCGAGGACTTGGATGCACGCCTTGCAGCATGGTTGGTAAAGCAATTTGAAGCACAGCTTGGTGTTGCGATCACGTCGCGTGGAACTGAGGCAGAAGCCAGTGGCAACGATAAAAAGGAGCCACCGTGTACACAGGCTGGGGTCCGCCATGCTGCCGAACTATTAAAAAGGCAACTTACTGATGCCTCCGTTGCTAGTGCCTCCTGCGTATGGACAGAGCCGTCTCAATCCCAGGCGGAGATCCATATCCGAGCCGAAGTGGAAATCACACGAGCACAATTTGAAGACCTTTGTAAATCATTGCTCGAGCGCACGATGATTCCAGTGCGTGAGGTACTAGAAACCAACAACATGGAAACCGAAGAGATCGATGCCGTGGTGCTAGTAGGAGGCTCCTCGCGAATCCCATGGGTGCGTGAGCGTCTCACTGACATGTTCCAGGGTCGCGCACCGCTTTCGGACATCGATCCAGATCTTGCTGTGGCGTATGGAGCAGCGCGTACGTTAGATTAACGAGAGCAGGAGGAATCAATAGAGTTTACTGTGCTTCGACATGTATGTAATCAGGCAAAGTAGCAAAGCATATCTAGACATCACAGCTATATCACTGACAAAGAAACCCAGCGTGATTCCTCAGCCGCTTATCATCGTAATCTGCTTGGGGTGGGTATCTCTTAACATCTTCTAGAGCGCCATAAGTGCAGTTTCCGCTAGAACAAATGAAACATCACACGTCGCTAGTCAGCTAAATCCCAGGTCGCAATGTAGTCCAAGTCTTCTTTTCCTTACCAATCTCAGCGAGGTCGGGGGATGAGTGCACTGCATAAAAGTCCTGAATATAATCGAGCGCGAAGTTCTGTAGGCGCCCGTTGATTCCACCATCGTCCTGGTCTGCGCGATAGCCACGCTGCGTTGCAATGGCCTTAGTACATGCCACCAGCGCAAAGGATGCACGTAGGTTTTGCTTTTTATTCAGCTCGAGCGAGTGTGCATAATGTTTACGTGCTTTCAGCAGATTGTCCAGACCTCCAATTGTGGCATAGATCTACAAGATATTGAGAAAAAAGCTTATCATCAACAAACAAGGACGTTAGGAACAAATCAGCTCAATTTCTCGACGTACGTCAGCTAGACGACTGTGGGAGATGGCATCCATGGGGTTCAACAGCACCAACTCCTCGTAGCAAAAGGCAGCGTAACGATACGTTCCAATGGACAAGTACGTCTCACCAAGCTCCGTCCACTGCAATAACCGGTCAAACACAATCAAAAACATAAGATGCCTGCTATTTTTCAGCACCTTTACAATTGCAGCAGCATCACGTACAGCTGTTTGATCCGTTCCAAAGCTGCGTAAGAACTCGTTTAATGCAGTCACAACGTCTGCCGTCTTTCTCTGTGCCTTTAGCACCGCAATTTTGCGTTTAAACACCAAGGCGTTGGCTGGATTGGCCTCTAGTAGCTCATCGTATAGAGCCAGTGCTTTCGTAAACTCACGACGCTGTTCCAATTGCATTCCTTCGAGTCTCGCAACACGAGAACTGCCTGGGAACTTGGTCTGCAATGCTTTCAAGCAGGTCTGTTAAAACGACAAAATAATAAAACGGCAATGAATTATACGTGAAAAAACAATAAAAACACCGTTTTAACTATTGCTAACTCGCTCGTACCTCGGACAGCTCGTCATCGTGCAGATCCAGAGCAGCAATGAATGTCTGTTCGTACACTGTCCATACTGGGTAGAAAGCAGTATAACAACAGTGTAAAAACAAAAGTTATATCCTGGTTTCAACGTTTTAACATCCGTACATTCATCGCCAAGTCCCCAGCTGTGCTTCGTCACCAGCAACTTTCCGATGCTCGCAACTGCGTGGGGCTCACGCAGTTTCTCTTTTCGCACGTAATGCAGCAGCTCCAAGCAATCATCGCGCGCCCTGTTGCTCTCTGCCGCCATCAGCTTCTTCTCAAACTCATGCTGGCCCATTTTAACGATAATGGTAAAAAAACGAGCTTATTACTAAAGCTGTTTTTACAATTCGTTTAAGCGCTGAAACTTCAAAGACGTCTTTCAATTAATTATAAAATGCAATTAATTAAATTAAAAGCTTGCTACAATTTGACAATATCAATGTCCAACAATTTTGTCAATTTAAGTAATTTTGTATACTTTACCTACTTTGCAGCAGCAGGATCCTTTCAGTAGTCAAGATCAATCCAAGACAAAAAAGCACTTTATTGCAAAACTATTTGAAGAACAAATGGGTTGAGAACAATCGAAATCCCTGGTCAAGTGCCGAGCAAATCCTTTGGTTTTTGTGTAGTAATGGTATTGGTAAATGCTGTTGGTTACTGATACTAATGACCACATGGCATCGACGACACTGCGTGATTGTGTGTAACGATGGGATCGACTCATCGTTTTGCTACTAATATTGTAGAGTCGATATCGATAGGCTTAGAGTAGTACAACGAGACGAACTAAGGACCTAGCTAGATAATAATTCACTTTTCATTTTACCTTCTTCTAAGCACTCCCACCTTAACTCGCCCTTGGCTGTTGCCAAAAGTCATAAGGTTATGAGCCCAACTACACCGGACGCGGGCGACATACTCCGCAAAGATAACTACTTCGTGTGGGAGTTCAACGCAAGGTAGAGGCTGGCAAATAAGGGATTGCTAGAGCACCTAGACGCTATGAAGGCCCCAGAAGAAGGAGACGCAAGCGCGTCAACTTGGAAAGTCAACGACATGAAGGCCTTTGCGATTATGTCAACAATGATCAGCACAAATCTTCAGTCAATGGTGCGCTCGGCGAAGACAACGGCAGAAGCATGGGACATACTGAAGACTTTCTTCCTGCGACAAAGTATGCACAATCGTGTGCAGCTACGACGGCAACTACATGAGTTCAAGTTGGACAAGGGAGGAAGCATTATGGATCACTTCCTGAGATTTGACGAGCTGTGCATGACTATGCAAGCTGTGGGACAAGAGATCTCATAGGATGAGCATTTAGTCATCCTATTGGGTAGTCTAACGAGAGACTATGACCCCATCGTCAAGATAATTAAAACATGCCCGGAATGACACTGTTTCACGGTAAGGAAATACTGAGGCGGGAGTACGATGGAATGACGAGGACAGAACACTAAGAAGTCGCACTGAAAAGTACGCACAATTCCAAGTACAAGAAAGGTCCGCGCAGACATATGGGGATATCAAGTTCAAGAGGTGAAAAGTTTTCGGGAAGATGTTACGGATGTGGCACAAGCGTCAAGATTGCAAGGCTGCAAGTGCAGACAGAGCGAACTGGAGAAGAGAAAGCATATACTGCGTCAAGTCGGACGTCAGCTGGATGGTTATTGGACAGTGGAGCAAGCAGTCACATGTGTCCCGACAGAGATGAGTTTTCGTGTTTTGACTCACTAACGGACCCGATCATGATCACCAAAGCAGAAGGCAGCGAAGTGGAAGCGCAAGGTGTTGGGACAGTGCGCGTGCAACTCAAGACTGGTGAAGTGATCATAATCGAAGAAACGCTATGGGTGCCGGGCCTAGACCGAAGGCTACTGTCAATATCGGCATTGTCAAAAAAGGGTCTACAAGTGATCTTCTCAAATCTGAGCTGTCAGATAAAAAATAACACGGAAGTCGTTGCTCAAATACCAAGACGAAACAAGATGTACGTCTTAGAGTGCATTCCGGCTGAGGTAGCCAACGTTTGCGAAGAACAAATCAAGAGCAAAAATCAGGTGGCGGACCAGGAGCGGCTGATCTACAAGTGTGGCATGCAAGATTAGGTCACCTGTCAACAAAGATGCTTAAGGGTATGGCAAGTTGCGTCAATGGATTAAAGATCAAGAAGAATCAAGGTGGTGCAGATGACATCGAGATCTGCGAAGGGTGCATCATGGGTAAAGCAACCGTCAAGACGTTTCCGAAGTCACCATACGGACAGGTGAAAACCAAGGAAGTGTTGCAGTTGGTCCACAGTGATGTCATGGGACCTATGGAAACGAAGTCTCGAGGAGGACCAAGATTTGTCGTGACCTTTATCGATGATTTTTCGCGATATACAGTCGCATACTATATTGAAAACAAGTCGGAAGTGACAAATCGCTTCATCGAGTACAAGGCACTTATGGAGAATCAATTGTCCAAGAAGATCAAGTGTATCAGGACAGACAACTGTGGTGGAGTGGATTCTCAAACGACGTGAGAGAACCACAAACACACACAGCGCCGGACTGCCGACTTACGGAGGGGGTACCCCGATACCGTGTCGCGTCAACCTTGGGTCTCACCTTGTGTACCCGTCGGCTTGGCTGGTCTTGCTCCTCGTTAGACGCAGAAGACTTAAAGACTTGGTCTTATATGGAGGGACTTGGGGGCCACGAATGGATATGCTTCACTCGGGCCCAGGGCTTCTTGGGCTCAATCGACTGGGTCGAGAGCAGTGCACCTGGTACTATGTACCCCTTCGGTGGCTAACGGTTTCTTGGTCTTTCGACCCCTTTTCTTGTTTCCCGTAGGGAAACCGCTTCCTATAGCGGGTCGTGGAATGGGTACGAACCCACAGGCCAAAATATTTCCTGGGGTTCGTTCGAGCTTGAATCTTACCACACGTCTGTCTTCAACGGGGGGGGCCAAAATAAATCCCTTCCCCGGATCAGGTGGGTAGATCGAAACAAGCTCGCACTTGAGTCTTGACACTGACTTGACATCTCAGGCCAACTATCCTGAGGTTCAACTTGCGTTGCTTGAGCCGTCACCTCACCTGACGTCGGTGGGCCAAAGGGTATCCCTCCCGGAATAGGTGAGGTGACGGAGAATCTTGAAGGAAGCGCTTGGAGCTGCCACGTGTAATGCAAATTCGAGTGCGTTTATTTACCTTATACTTTGTATGCTTTTTCTTGCCTAACCCTAACCCTTTGATCTGGATAGTGCCACGTGTCGACTCTTGGAGGAAGAAATGGCTCCTTGGTACCTGTACTTTTTGTAATCTTCGATATTCTGTGTACCGATTCTGCACCCTCGGACATTGGGCCCCTGGGCCCCTGGGCCCCTGTACCCCTGGGTCCCTGTACCCCTGGTACCCCGGGCCTCTGTGCCTCTATACCCTGGGCCCTGTAGTACCCTGGGCCTCGGTATCCTGGGCCCTGTACCCTGGGCCCTGTACCCTGTACCCTGTACCCTGTACCCTGTACCCTGGGCCTCGGTACCCCGGTACCCTGCACCTTGTACCCTGGTCCCTGATACCCTGGGCTCTTGTACCCTGTGCTCTTGGACCTTGGGTCCTGTACCTACTCTACACGTTGAAATACCTTGTACCTTCTTTGACCTTAGGACCTTGGACCACCTCGGGGCACTGGACCTTTCGAATCCTGGTGTGCGCCCAGTAGGGTAACCTTGTACCTTTGACCCTGGACGTTCGATACCCCTGTCCCCGGTAACTGGTACCCCTGTCCCCGGTGACTGGTACCCTGTCCTCGGTGACTGGTACCCCTGTCCCCGGTAGCTGGTACCCCTGTCCCCGGTAGCTGGTACCCCTGTCCCTGGTGCCCTGTCCCTGGTGACTGAAAACCCTGTCCCTGGTGACTAGGAACCCGCGTCCCTGGTGACAGTACCCATGTCCCCGGTAACTGAAAACCCTGTCCCTGGTGACTAGTACCCCGGTCCCTGGTAACTGGTATCCCTGTCCCCGGTAACTGAAAACCCTGTCCCTGGCGACTAGGAACACGCGTCCCTGGCGACTGGTACCCCTGTCCCTGGTGACCCTCGGTTGAACCTTGGAACCTTGCGAGGCCTGGGTTCTTGTACCCTGGTACCCTGGTCTCTTGTACCGTGGGCCCTTGGACCTTGGAGCCTGTACTGGCTCTACACGTAGAAATACCTTGTACCTTCTTTGACCTTAGGACCTTGGATCACCTCGGGGCACTGGCCCTTTCGGGTCCTGGTGTGCGCACGGTAACCTTGCACGGTAACCTTGTACCTTTGACCCTGGACGTTCGATACCCCTGTCCCCGGTAACTGGTACCCCTGTCCCCGGTGACTGGTACCCCTGTCCCCGGTAGCTGGTACCCCTGTCCCTGGTTCCCTGTCCCTGGTGACTGATACCCTTGTCCCCGATTAATAGAAACCCTGTCCCCGGTAACTGATATCCCTGTCCCCGGTAACTGAAAACCCTTTCCCTGATGACTAGTACTCCGGTCCCTGGTGACTGGATGCCCTGTCCCTGGTGACCCTCGATTGAACCTTGGGACCTTGCGAGGTCTGGGCCCTTGTACCCTGGGGCCCCTTTACCCTGGTACCCTGGGGCCTTGGTACCCTGGGCCCCGATTCTCCTGGCACTTCACCACAGCTGTCCCCTGCGCGCTGGTCTTCCGAACTGCGACAAGACCACGTGCACCCTTGTCCTGTCCTTTTGGAATAGCAGTAAAAGTTCATGTGGTCATTCCACTTCAATGCTTCTCCATAGTCACTTCCAATTTTATATACTGATCCTCGTCCGAGTGGGGCTCTGTATCCTCAGGCCCTGGGCCCTCGGGGCCTTGAGCCTTCAGGGCTGCACAATACTTCGAATTTTCTTCTGTGCTGCCGCACTCTCGATCTATAACTTGACTTATTCGTAAATGTAGAACAAATACCGCCTCCTTCTTGCATCATCTTGGCCTTCCCAAAATGAACTCTCCCCTCTACTCATCGTGACTTCGCATTGCTTCAAATCAATTCTGTTTCTTCTTCGTGTCCTTAAGCACCGTTGGCAGTTTGGGAGACTTGTTTCGGGGTCCATTGTTTGTAAGCTTTCGCTGTCAAACTTGGGACCCCTGGACCATAAAATTTATAATGGCCCATGTTGTATTCTTAAACGAAGACGTAAGGGGGAGGATTTTGTAGTTTTTCTTCATTTTCCGCCTTGACCTCAATAGCAGAGCTCCTCCCCGGTCTCTGCAGGTCCTCCGATCCTTCTTCCCCTTTAATCAC